CGTAATAAAGCGTTTTTATTTACTTTTTATTTTCATGAATGAAAGTAGTGCGGCCCCCTTCGGTTCTTTGAATTGCTCATACAGAATCCCAAGAGTGTTGGATCTCTTATGATAAGGTTATCGGCTTGATTAAAGGGAAGAAAAAAGCGTTTGATTATATGAAGATATATTAAAAAGTCAAATCTGACGGAAATCTTCGGTCATCATGTCGAAATCCCTGCGTTTATTAGCTTTTACTTGAAGCGGTAACATGTATGATAGATATATAATTGAAAGATTTTATAGATGCATGGGGTGTAAGGCTAGATAAGGAGGTTCTTTTGATCATAGATGTTTCTTCTGTAATAGATTTTATAATAATTTGAAAGCATTTCTCTTTCAGTGCATTATATTCAGATAATTCGATATGATAAAGAGGGCAACTGGTTTTGAACGAAAATACAAACGTTTACAAACGCAACGAAAGCACATGTCCTAGAGAAATAAAAAGCTTTCTTCAAATGACTTGAGATATCAATTCAGATGAAAACCAACAAATGATTGGTAAAGAAGCAACAATAATTAGATATTAAAACAAAGACTAGAAGAGTAAAAAAAATATCGAAACTTTTCAAATTTATCTCTTTAATATTTGGCATAAATGAATAAATAATCTATATATTTTTAAAATGGTGATTTTGATAGTGGAAACGTGAGAAACAAACACCGTAATTTCTGAACCATTCAAGGTGTTTCAGCAATGATAACTCTAAGTTTCAAATGAGCTGCGTCACGACAAAACCAACGCAATGCGTATGCGAGCAGCATGGATCCAGACCAGCCTGCGCATCCGCGCAGTCTGATCAGGATCCATGCTGTTCGCTTACAAACCCTATTACAAGTAGAGAACCTGATACCGAACAGCTTGGATCCTGATCAGTCTGCGTGGATTTTGCAAAAAGCTACTGATTGACAAATACGTCGTACATACATAAATAATGTTAATTTGCAGCTCAGATCGAGAGTTTGTTTTGAAATGGTGTTAACTCACATGACACAAAGAAGAAGTTACAACCGTTTCGCAATAAGCCCTCGAAATAATAAATTGTTTTCTCGAGATGATGAATTGTTTTAAAAGTTCCCATTTTCCGACACACACAGAAATTAAGTTCCTTAACATATACGTGTACAATATATTGGCGCCAGTACGTTGCTTCCAATCTTTGTGTACCCGCTGTAAGTGTCGTTTGGACAAACAAGATAGCTTAGAAGTGGTTTTAATGATGATTTTAGGTTGCGTGAAGACAATCAGTGTATCACCGAGCCAGCAGACTTGCACAAATTTAAGATTAGAAATAGGCGTGTAATAATTTCGTGGTAAATATAGAGAAAAAAAAATCAACACAAAATGAAGAGAAGATCTGTGGATGAAATTATTAAAAATGACATGGACTTGTTAAGATTTAATTTGTAATCAGATAGAAAAAATGCGCTTGAATATTTTGGCCTCTTTCTCCGCCTACTTTGACACTTTTAAATTAATGAAATTAGACGACTTAAAGTATTATATATGTGATATTTAAAGTGAATTTGTCTATAATGGAAGTAGCCGGTAAAAAAGTGATCATTACAGCGAAATTACATGAAAATTGCAGACTGTACTATTTTTGAATTGTTGTCTATCATTTTATACCATACGTAACATTTAACTACGATTTCAACCGATGGAATATATAAAGATTTGTTGTATCTATTAATTCTAACTGATGGTATTTCTAAACTGTCTTTTATTTTGCGTTATTATAAGCATATTCAAATGATTTCAGAATTAATCAGTTGTTTTCGGTCTGTTTTTTTTTAAACTCATTGCAAGGATTTTTGTAATTAATTACATTAAAAAAAACCCGTTTGCCCTTTTCTCTTTTACTTATTATTGCAATAGTCTAGACGATTGATGTGGAGACTGGACAAAGGGTGATTGGAAACAATATTTAGTACATCCAGTATATAAGCAATCATATGTATATATGTAAAATATCCAGAAAAGTACATGTTTGATATTTTGGTTTATACTAAATAATTAATTGCACTTGAAGTCATGTTGTTGTTGTTTTTTTTATGTTTTTTTTCTAATCTTAACATATATAAAAGCATTTGAGTATTTAAGCTATTATTTTACGCACAATTTGCACACCTTTTTGTTCTAAAAACAGTATATACACTTTTCAGCTTGTGTTAGGAAATTTTGAAATTAAGGTCATCATATTTTTTCCTTGACATCCTATATTTCAGACTGTCTGCCAAAATGTTCACAGTGAATGTGATCTAATTTAGCGAAACCTATTTGTGAGGTTCTCTTTGATCTATGTGTTGTTGATTATGAAATAAGGAAGAAAACAACTAATTTTACTGGGATGAAAACATCCATGGATGTACACGGAATATCAGTACAAAAAAATGAAACTGTAAGTGACGTCATTCCGGAAGAAGTTGAACGCAGACATCAGATGATTTTTTACAATTTCTGACCTTAGTGACATTTCCTTGCAACACCAGTAATAGTTTGAAATATAAAAATTTCCTTTATATGAAATAAAACACCTTTCTTCTACATTTTTGTCAAATCTTTTTTGTTTCTTATTTCTTTACTAACATGTTATTCGTCTTAAACAAACACCAATGAAACACTTAATGGTGGAGTTGTTTCTGGAGGTAACCATATTATTTTCTGTTTAACCCTTTCCCTCATGAGCATATTGTGAAAAATGGTCGTTTTAATTGAAAAGCCTCCTGTTACAAGTTCAAACTGCTAAGAAACTATAAAAAATGCTTCAAATACTTATCAAACTTGGCACAAATGCTGTCTAGACCATTGCCTTTGTAACGACATGCTCAGTCTTAAATTTCCTGTTACCATGGCAACGAGGGGACATCTCAAAATTGCCAAAATCACTATTTTGCCTTGATTTTTTCCATCAAAATTTATTTCAAAGTGCTGCAACTTCTCAAGGTATTGATATAGAGTCTAAGGCTTTTCAGCGTTGGTTACACGTTACCTTAGGATCGACCTGGGGTCATTTTTAGCCTCTCACAAGTCCAAAATTTTCTTGGCGATGAGGGGGGCTACCGCCCCCTTCAAACCCCCCAAACAGAAGGGGACACATCCCCCTTCTGGCAACCCCCTGATGTATATTTCGCTTGGGAGCCGCGCCGAAAAAGTGGTCACTTTTTTAAACAAAATTTCTCAAATGGGGCCCAAATAGGACATTTTTTCACTATTTGAGACCAGAAAGGGGGGGGGGGGGTTCGAAAGTGCGTTGTTTCGCGTATATATGAGGTAAAGGGTTAAATGTTAGAATTGTAATGACGCTGATTTCAAAATCATAGTCAATGGGAGATAATCAAAATTTGATATGATAGAGAAATACAGATCACATATACAACATGTAAATGTATGTAAATACAAAAAGAAACCTCAAACCCCTGTGTTCTGGAACCTTTTGAATCGTAAATCTTTTAAACGGTTATGTATAGATGATTAACAAAAAATAAAAGATAATAAAACAAACAAACAAACAAACAAACAAACAAACTAACTAACTAACTAAATAAATAAATAAATACATAAATACCACAACACCCCCATAATAAACATCAGGCAAGCACAATAAAAAGAAGAAAAAAGAGAAAAAGAGCAAAAAAAAAACATCAATATTAATATTTTAACAGTAGTGAAGAAATATCTTATAAAAAGAGTAGGGCCGGGAATTATATTCGAATTAAAATAGATAAAAAAGAGTGTTATATGCTGAGTTTGGTTTTTCTTTAGTTTTTGTTTATTTTGTAACTGTCCCATCTGTGTCATAAGTCACAGTTTAAACGTTTAAATAGCTTATTCTTCAAATTTTACAAATCTTCTTCGTAAAATAAACCAAGGGACTGTACCAGTGTTAAAAATTATCACAGTCATGAGACATTTACTTCCCTTGCTGTAGGACTGAAAAATATTTACGATTTTGTAAAGATTTATTTAAAACACTTATACACGGTATTTAAATTTTATCTTTGAAATATTGTTTCGAACTCTTGATCTAAACATTTCAATTGTGTGTGTTTTTTGGCCTTTTCATTCATTCTCTAGAATCTAGAAGGTTATAGATCTTTGCAACAAACATCTGGTTAGTGAATTTTCATCAATTCTATGGACAATGATGATAGACGTAGGCTAGGATTTGATCCCATCAAGACAGTGTAGTCAGATGGAAAGTCAACGTAACTTTATGCATTGATAAAAAGCACATGTTATTTAGCATTGCTCTGTGGAATGGAACAGAACAGAACAGAACTTTTATTTTCTATACTTATACAACGTACATCGTCTTGTTAACATGCAGTGAACACATATGAGCCGCGTCAAGAAAAACCAACATAATGGGTTTGCGACCAGCATGGATCCCGACCAGCTTGCGCATCCGCGCAGTCTGATAAGGATCCATGCTGTTCGCTTACCAACCCTATCACAAGTAGAGAAACTGATATGTACACTTTTTGTTCTCTTAAAATACAGGCTTGGTCAAAGTGGCTAGCATTTCCTTTTAATTTTGAGCACCAAACAAACATTGGAAAGACAACTTACAGTTTAAATATATAATGGCAATATGAACAAATTCGTATCCTCCAAGAATATCAAATCTGGTCAAAAGTAAGGGACATAACTTATTATGAATGCCTGAATAGCTATGAATAGGCATGTAATGTTTTATTCCCTTTTTAAATGGTTGCACCTCGAACAGAAAAGGGGCAACTGGTACTTGAAAATATATAAAAGAAATGTATATAAAATGATTCACCGTTTATTTTTGAAACATTCTGCAAGAAAACGGCAAATCAAAACTATAACATGGATATATTTAAAACAGAAACTCTATGAAGAACTCAACATTTGTCACATTTAATGTAATACAAATGATAGATACTTATTTACAAAGACGATTCAACGCGAAAACTAAATTAATAAATCCACGGAAGGTGAACTTTATTCTTTTTATTCAAGTTGTTATAGAATACTTATACATCTAAAGGAAAAGTAAGAAACGCAATGCACGTTCTCCTGTTATATTTAATTTAAAACATAGCGCCACCTGCCGAGAAAAGGAGTCCATTATTTCGCATCCATCTTACCGACCTCTGCATAATAATGGAATCGCTATTCTGTGCCACATTATTATTTTGGGTATCACCTGGTACGGGCCGAATTCCAACTGTACGGGCAATATTCTGGAGGAACGGGATATATCCCATCATCTGCATGAAACCTCTTGGCGAACCTCCTTGCTGCGTTGCGTAATTTATAAGAGCCATATCTGGACTGGCATGCGGACCTACAATAGCTTTGACAGCGTTGTCAAGTGTCGCATATTCCATCGATGACATTCCACCTATCCCCATACCCAGACCAGCACTCATCCCACCAGTCATACCACCCATACCACCTCCGCCCATTAAGGCTAGCATGCCCATGTTTTCGAGCTGGCCATGACCTAAATAATAATAAAAAGCAATAATAATAATGATAATAATAATAATAATAATAATAATAATAATGATAATAATAATAACAATAACAATAATAATCATCATCATCATCATCATCATCATCATCATCATCATCATCATCATCATCATCATTTCATCTTCATCATCAACATCATCATCATCATCGACGTCGTCGTTTTGATTATTGTCAACGTCGTTATCATCATCCTCATTATCATATTATTATTACCACTATTGTTTCACGTGTTTTATTAATATCACCATCCTTATCATCGTCGTCGTTTTCATCATCATCATCATCATCATCACCGTCATCATCATCATCATTATTATCAAACATTAGCATTTCTATCATCATTATCATCCTCATCAACATCAAAAATAATAATCATAATCATCATCATTATCATCATTTAATTTATAGAATAATAAAGACAGAAATAAAAAAAAAACATACGAAAAAGTTAAGAAAATATTAAAGAGATACATAAGGTGTTTCTTCATTATAATGACTGAGGAAGGAAATAGAAGAAATCTACATATTAAACATTCTTTTCTAATTTAATCGTTTATATTTACTGTTTTGACATAGCAATAGCTCTTTATTAATAGTGTTACCTAGGTACTACTGTAAATTATCTATATGATTAAGTAAGGAAGGCTTAATGATTTGCATGTATTATATTTTTAAAATTTTCCTTTTCACGAAAAGTGTGCACCGACCTCGTATTTCATGTCTACGTTTCCACTAATGAAAATCAAAAGGGCGGTAAGCTTCATGTCAGCGTTATGACAAAGTCACGTGCTGGAAAAGTTATATACAAGTTTTGACAGATATCATGTGATGCGCGGTAGCACGTGAAACAAGATTGATACATTTATGTAAATGACAGGTTAGACATTTGCGTAACTAGAAACTTTCTGTCCCTCATCTTCATTTTAAACAGTCTTAATATCGATCTCTTGTCCATGGAAAAGAAAAAATATATGCTTAACAATTTGAATTTTAAATGCTGTTGAAATTGTCACCTGAATGCATGCCAATTATAACATACATTAAACAAGTACACGCGTTAATTTACATTTTCTTCTTTCATCCTCAACTTTGACTTATGCGTTTATGACATTAAAACCACTGTAATCATAATTAGTTTTAACATGCTCAATTCTTTTATCAAAACGATAATGAACTTAACTGTTATGGTATATTAGCTTTAATAGCGGACTGTTATGATAAAAGTAACATGCCTCCAGATTCATGCTGTTTTTTTTTAAGTTTTGAAGATGTATTTAAAAAATATACTGCTATAGGAAAAAAGAAAGTAATTTACACATTGCAAACGGCACTTACAAACCACGTAAATACCCCCCTCCCAACCCAACCAACCAAAAAGAGGTCAAATTATGTAAAAATTGTCCGTACTGCGGGGTAGTGGTATTTACTGCAAAATATCGCCGATAACATGTATATTATTATTTAAATTTTGAATCTTTTACTTTTATTAAATCTTAGTACATTTTTCACAATTTTGATTTTCTTGAAGGTTTTTTTTTCTTAAAACCATTATATTTTATGAAAGAAGAAATAGTCTCAACACGCTAAATCACGTTTTTTTGCGAAATATTTTAATCTTCATTTCTCAAATGTGTATATTTATTTTTTTGGCGTCCGATTATTGAAACAGTTACTTATTGACCAATTACCTGCAACATCTTTCCCTTCTTATGCTTACAGTTAAAATGATTTAGTATTTTGTATGGAAGTCACTATTATATAAGACTACTTTGCTAACATTTGGATGGTTTCATGATAAATAATTTCGCTTCGTTGTTCAAGTGATAAATACTCTAAAATGCTCTTAAAGGTTAATATTATAAAGTGAAATACACATTGCAAACGGCACTTAAATTCTACGTAAATTACCAAAAAACAGGCCATACTATGCAAAAATCCTTGTCGTGCGATAGACTCGCAGTAGAAATATCGTGATAAATACTGCACAATCAGTCAATAATTACATAAAACATGTAAATAATTTCTTGGATTGTGAATATTTTACTTTTTATAAAATCTTAGTACAATTTTATAAAAAATGATTTCAGCCGCGCCATGACAAACCAACATAATGCATCCGCGCAGTCTGATCAGGATCCATGCCGTTCGCTATCAGTTTCTCTACTTGTAATAGAACAGCATGGATCCTGATCAGACTGCGCGGATGCACAGGCTGGTCTGGATCCATGCTGGTCGCAAACGCATAACGTTGGTTTTGTCGTGACGCGGCTCATTTTTCTTAAAATCTTTTGGATCCTTTGGAGGCAGCTTTCAGAACTTTCTATATTTCGATATTGTTATGACTTTAACAATATCTTCCTTATGTCTTTCATTTAAAGCGGCAATCTATTCTGTTGAATAAACAATTCCGTGTTGTTTTTTATCTTTCAAAAGTGTATCCTATCACTGATTAGCCTTCATCAAAACAGCGCCCTTAATGCGTCAGTGTTTTTGTTCTAGAAATAGAAGATCTGGAAAGGAGTTCTCATGAGCAAGCGATGGATTAGATGTATCGAAGGGTTTCCTTATTGTTTATTATTTTTATTTTATTTTCCATTTAATTCTTATGTTTTTGACAATAATAATTATGAAAAGATAACATATTTAACCTTTACAAAAGCTGAAGGCCGCTTTAACTTGATCATTTCAGCTGAACGTAGATGATTATTGTACTGGTCCTGTGGTCCTTGGAAATAAGTAATTTAACAGTTTAAGCAAAGTTAATGGGTGGAAGAGGATTGCACTATCCTTTTAAAAATATTCTTTTAGCAAAAGTCAATCAATAGTGAAAGAATGATTGTTTCGAGACGTCTTTGACACATTTTTATGATACTAATTCCATGTTCGAACATGATACCCTGAGATAACAATCATGAACAGAAATAAGAGGAAGCTAGAAACACTCTGATTACATGAGAAAACAATAACTTTAACATTAAATTCTAAAAAAAGCTTGCACTATTTCTGCTGCCCGTAGTTTACAAAGAAAAGTCTGTAAAGTCTCTTTAAGAAGCACTTTTTTATATGTTTCTTTTGTGGAGGTAGTGAACTTACTCAAGTTTAAAAGTTTATATATAAATATATATTTTTATGTGTGTATAATTAATACTTATTCCCTTGTCTAGTATATACTAATTATAATCTTATTTAAGACAAACAATATAGTTCGCCAAAGGAGAAGAATTCTATAAGACTTGTCTTTCATTCTCATCCTTTTCCATTGTGTAAAAATGTTTTGTTTGTTATATATTTGTATGTACATTATATATTCTTTCGGGAATAAATATGTTTAAACTAACTTACTCAAGAAATTACTTAACCATTATGTTCAGTGTACAAAGAACTCCACTGAGTTCTAAAAGCCTAAAGACAGAAAATTTTATTTTCTCGCATAGATCAACTTGGGCCCTTGAAATAGAAATATATATAAAATATTAAGAAATATACTAAGAAATACATTGAAAATCGTATGTTTGTGCGATTTGAGTGCAAAACGTTGCAACGTTTTCAAATTTTGTGTCATTTTTCACATTTAGAATAATCATTCTGGAAAACGGATCGAAATCTGAAATTTTGCAAATAAGTTGTTAGTATAGATCTTCATCAAATCTCGAAAAATCATTTCCGGTCCCGTGATGTCAAAAAACCTCAGCGGAGTCCCTTAAATGAGCCGCGTCACGACAAAACCAACATAGTGGGTTTGCGACCAGCATGGATCCAGACCAGCCTGCGCATCCGCGCAGTCTGATCAGGATCCATGCTGTTCGCTATCAGTTTCTCTACTTGTAATAGAGTTGGTAAGCGAACAGCATGGATCCTGATCAGACTGCGCGGATGCGCAGGCTGGTCTGGATCCATGCTGGTCGCAAACCCATTATGTTGGTTTTGTCGTGAAGCGGCTTAAATCATTTCACTGCATCAAACGAACTGTGGCACTGCCTTAATTTAAACGTTTCCTGTGTATCAATGTGTATAGATTTATAAGTTAATTTCAATGATACATAAAATTTATTTGATATAAGTTAATTAAAGATAGAGATTTCAAAAAGTAAAGATACTACTACATCATTAGTGAAAAAATGAGCATTAAAAGCAAGTAAACATATAATAGAAAGAATCAATTACAAATGGTCAGTATTGCGACCGTACAAAACCCAATATTCAAGAATGCGCCGCCAACCTTCACATATAAATGTAAATTAAAGGGTTATATTTTTACCCCCACATATCCTTAAAGTGTATAAAGCAATACATCTGCTGCAAAAGTACCGTTTAGATTTAAACTAAATACTTTCAAAATGTTTGTATGAAATATATACGGTTACCGTGGTAAATTGACTTAAAATTGCACATGCACGAAATAATTGTATTACAAATAGGATAATACTTAAAACTGCAGAGTACTAATTTGTTTCGGGACATTTTATTCTATTTAAGTACAATTCATTTGTTTTAATAATTAACAAAGACATCCGGCGTTACACATCTTTCGAGAATCGACCATTACATTATGGACGCAAAATATTTTACTGTTAATATATTTTATAAAAAAAAATCTATAAGGTTTTACTAACCTTTAATAACAAGGGTCACATAAAACGTGAGTATTACCCACAACTAAGACATTATTTGACAAAATGTTTTGTTGTTGCAAATTTAGTTAATTATGTCATTGTTATAAGAAAATTTGAATTGTTTTCTACCCCCATACATTATGAATCTATGAATAGATTAGTACAATTATACATATTTCGATCTATGAGATATCGCGATTTTCCTATGGAAAGCAATAGAAATAAATCTATTTCACATTTTGTTATGACATGATCAGAAAATATTTGTTTTTGAAATTGCTTGATATCTAATACTTACATAATAATAGAGTAAATGACTCCAAAACAAAACTGTAAACGATTAGTCTAGGAGTAATGTCCATGATAATAATTATCTTATTCGCTTTGAAATCATATAATATTTTAAGAAAGTCTTCTTTATTTGTTTTGTTTATAAATATCGCTATATATACAGCCTTATGATATTAGTCAAAATCACGTGAATTTATGACAAGTTGGTAAGAAATTGGCAACCCCCTACATTTTGAAATTCACACTCTGTAAACGCAGGTATGAGTATGAGCGAGATTCGTTTGTTTTGTATTATCTAAAAAAGAATAAACAACAACAAAAACAACAACACATAGTTTGTTAGTCTTTTCAATTAAAATTTTCGAATGAAAATTTACAGTTGTATTATTTTTCAAAATTTGATTATCTAAAATCATTTGAAAACGCACGACCACGTGTCTAATAAAAAACCCACAGCTACTGAAAAGATAGGGCAACTAATTAATGTCACGAGATCATGTTAAAGTAGGATAATCATTGTTTACTTATAATAAATCTTATTTTCACGCGTATGTGTATTTAAATCTGTCACGTGGTATAAGAAATGACAAGGCTACATTTTCATTTTGTTACCATGTAATGTAAAAGATGTTGTTTCGTATTATACGTCACAGAGTAAAGTTATTTATTCATATAATTGTAAATTTATATGACATATTTTAATGAATCAACGTTGTCTTAACCGTCGGTAGGATTTTGAGATATAACACCAAATTAGAACTTAGATGTACAGGCAAATCTTAATGTTTGAAGGTCGTAAAACTTAATGCTCTAATTACAGACATTCCAGGACGACAAGTGACAAATTTCCCAGTTATAACCTGATCAAGTGTAAATGAATAAAACCCCAGAAGAATTAGGGCTAAAATGTAAACATAGCAATGTGGTGGAGTAAAAATGATATTGAGAAACTCATACGTAGACTGATTTATTTGAATTCAAGGATAAGACGTTTAAAAAGAATGGAGGAATTTCCATGTTGGAATCATTTCTCATTCAGACAAAATCATTCACAGTAAGACTAGAACATAGATCAGGCTTAGGTTGCTCAGTTGCTTCATGTATTCCAGAAGAACATAACCATTTCTTAAATGCTCACTCCTTGATACTTAAAACAATCTTTTTAATTACTAAATGCCAACAATTATAACATTTACATATATTCCAGTAATACTTATGTCTTAATCAGGCCGGGTCCATAAGGTCTGAAACGTGATAATTCTCACGAAATAGAATTACAGTCTGAATGTCAGTGTTGTATTGCTTTAAAATTGCACGTCTTATCTTATTGATGTTGTCAATCTTAACCCTACTGTCTGTTTTTAAGGCCTCAATAGACAGGTAGGATTTGGCTGTACACCCAATACAAAATTAGATGAACATGTACAAGCAAATCTTAATGTGTGAAGGCTTTGATTTCTTGAATTCGTGAAAGTAATACTAGATTTACAGGATATAGATATGTTCTTTTTTGTAATTCTTGTGGTATAGTCCTACCACGATGACACAAATTATCCTCCGTTAATGTGTTTAAAGATTGAAATGCCAAAACAATAAGGGCCAAAATGTAAAAATATGAGTAGTAAGACGACGGAGTAAAGAGGTTGAAAAACTCTTCGAGGGTCCACAAATTGTAGCACGTTCGAATCCCAAAATTACACAGAAAATGATTATAGACTTTAAAAAAATTCTTTCTGTTTTGAAAATTCCTCATGAAGAAAAAATTAATTCTTCATCGTAAGACGAAAATACAGAACGTGCTTTAGGGTGCTCAGTTATTCCATTTAAATAAGAAGAACATGATAAATTATTAAATGCCATGCTATCTACAGTTGAACCTTTAAGAATACCTCTCTAATAATCTCCGTAATTGGTCAATATCGACAATTATAACATTTACAAATATTCCAATAATAATAAAAGTTTGTAAACTCTGCAAGGTTTCCATTTGGAGGAAAGTGTTATAGAAGGAAACCTAAAAGTATACAGTATAGCAAACAAGTGTTACATTGCTTTGAAAAGTGTACATCACATCTTTAATTAGTGTTGTACAACTAAAGCGTACCGACTGTTGAGTCCTTCATTTCGTTCTGTTTTATTCTATTTGATTTACTTCTTTCACAGTGAATTAAACAGGTATGGATATCTAATCTGACATCTTATTAAACTTAAAAGCGCATTTATTTGGAATAAAGTTAATGTTAGCGTACATTTAGCTGATATAAATATCAAATTTTCTTTAACTTCGAAAAAAGAGCAAACCTAGATTTGTTTAAGTAAACCGATAATATTGTTTTTTTTTCTCTTGAAACTTGAAACTTTTTATTTAATTAAACGCCTGTTTCTATTTAACAATATTCAACGGCGTTGTACAGTACATTCTCTCCAAATGTTGGAGATACATAATCAACTTCATTAGTGTACTTTAGTTTTTCGAGTAGAGTTAATTCATATTTTCAGTTTATATTGGAAATTTCTTCTTATGACGGCTTGTTGCCTTAATTTTGTCACTTCATTAATCAGGAATATTAGTTAAGTTAGGGTTCATGGAAATGTTCAAGAAAAAGTTATTTTTTACAATTTATTAATTTTTCTATGAGATAAAACTAAAGATACAGCAACTAAAACTGCCTTTTACTGATAAGCAAAATAAAATGGGTTGTAAATGTATAGAATTAAATATATGTAAATAAATCCTTGTGGTGATTTGAGTCATTCAAGTTATTTCTGAATTTTGCTAGTCTTTACACATGGTCAGATTGTACACAAATGTCAAGTTAAGTAACGTTTCCATATCCTGTTCCAGTTTTAATAGCCATTGCCATTTCCAATGCCATTTCCATTGCCATTACCATTTCCATTACCATTTCCAATTCCTCTAACATTGTACCCATTGTTTGCTAGCCATATTGCGGCTCTCTGATAAATGATCTTATCTCTATTTGCTGGGTTGTTTATTCCTGTGTTGTAACCACCTGGAACTCGAGTAATTCCGATTTGATTAGCCTGGCTGAAGTAAAAAGGCATGTAAGCCATCATCTCGTACAAGTCTCGTGGGTTACCTGGTTGGGTTTCGGCGAAGGCTAATATTTCAGAAGATACCGGGGCGTGTGGACCGACAATTTGTTTAACAGAGTCTTCCAGTAGTGCATATTCTGCAACGGTTAACTTGCCTGTTCCATAGGGAACATGCCCTTCCTCAGGTATAACACTTGCAAAGCCTGTAATTAAAAAGTGATGATAAGTTTGTCTCTTGCCTGCCAAATATTGGGTCATATGGAATACATGCCATGGTTGCCCACAATCAATTTATAATTTCCTTTAAATGTCACTTTTTTATACAATTTAGATAACATTCTTTTAAAGATATGATCAAATGTTTGCCTGAACTACGATCAACAAAAGGTTACCTATCATTTAATGAAGACAAAGGGAGAAGAATACGTCTGCAAATTGAGTCACAATCAAAACAAGCCAAAGCAAATTATCTTGACATTTCATGTGTTATGCAGTCATAAACAACAAATGCTACTTTATTTAAATCGTCCGTAATTTTAGAAAACAATGCTGTAATTTTCCTGTCACATTATTTTTATATTATTAAAAATATTATTTAAGGTATAATGAAAAAGAAGCTACAATGCAAAAGTCATGAACCAATGAAGAATTTACTCCATGATATTTAATTCATTTCGTCTCTCGAAAAAAGGAAATTTCATATATTAATGTTACGTGTATATTTAGATTTAATCCAGCTGTTGAAAAAAAAGAAATACTTTTGTTTGAAATTAATAATACTTGTGTTTAATTCAGGAACATTACAATTTAAATGAAATAAGAGACTCGCTTAGTCTAATAAAACCTTTGAATTTTGAAACTATGACAGTGAATAAATGTTTATATCATTGTTGATTGGTATAAATAACTATCTATAATTTTAAAATATTCAACATAGTTACATATTATAAAATATTTTCTCTTACAAATGATAAAAAAACAACTTACATGACACAGCAAAGACATTTGCTACAAATATGAAGATGAAAAGTTTAGAAGTAAATTCCATCGTTAATTTCTGTCTTACTGCTTACTTCAGAGAAGAAACTGTACCAACCATTGGTCGTCAGGTCCCTTTTATAGATATTAATTACATTAGGAATTTAGGAAAATCAGCTGATATCACAAAGGTAGATTCATGAATCTTTTGGCTTAATTTTTTCTCTCCAGTTTACAAGAAGCAACTGAAAACTTTGATATTCAGATGAAATCAAATGACTTATTTTTACGTTATGTCCAAATTCAATTGAAATTGATAACATATTTGCTTGTATCATATGTTACAAAACCAAATCATATGACTGGACGTATTTTTCTTGGCTTTACGTTTTAATTAATATTTAGCATAAAATCTAAATTTCATCAAATGATGATAAGCCGTAATTAAATAACATATCAAAACATGTTAATTATTCAATTTAACAATGGTGTATTATTCCAGAGTACCTGCCTCTCGTTCGGAAATGGCAATTGGTGGAATAATTCTTTATACAATATGATGTAATCATCTGACAACATCACAAATTTAGGTTTTAGATCAACTGTGACAATTTTATCATCTTAATAAATAAGGAAATAAAGCATAGCATTTGTGACAAATGTTCTTAAAATGAAGTATACATTATTTTAGAACAGTTTGAATGTGCATATCATTTTTCACTATAACCTTTTAAACATACCTAAATAGTAAAATAATTAGCGAAAATAAATATTATGAATGCGCAAAATAAGTAAGAAATTAACGTAGAGAAAAGAAAAGTAAAGTAAAGTAAAGTAATGTGAAGTAAAGTAATGTAAAGTAAAGTAAAGTAAAAAGTAAAGTAAAGTAAAGCAAAGCAAAGCAAAGCAACGCAAAACAAATAGATAAATAAATAAATGAATAAATAAATAAATAAATACATATAATAAAGGTAAATTATCTGTTGTTATAATATTGTTACATGCTTTATAAATGTTATTGAGATAAGATTTGGCTTATTATTCTATTAGACAAAATACTCAAGGTACATGTACCACCTCTGTGTATATTTAGTAACGCAGGAATGTGAAAAGAATCGTGAAAAAGTAACGTCGGATCTGTGCAAAGCTATCGCCGAAACGAGTAAAACGGTAAGTAAACAGACCAAACTATTTTTACGTAAATCAAATTAAAAGAAATGAATAAGCGCATACGGCTGCTACCCCAGCATAACAAATATGTTAGGAATGTATTAACTTTTATAGATCATTCCTGCAAATGGCGAATTTGTGTTTCATCGGTACAAAAAAGAATAATAACTTATTTAAAACTTTATAGTTTTGATATTTAGTCTACCTTAGAGATTTTCCAAACTTCTAGTGTCATAAAATAGTACAAAAGAAGCATATGAAATTATTCAGAGTGTTCTTATAAGGGAACCAGCGTTGTGCCGATAAAACATTCGTGGTATTGGCGTAACATCGTAAAAATGGTCTCGGTCACTTATTATCTGTTAATTTCTAGTAAACGCTAAAACAAATAGTTTCAACGAACATTCTATTATACTTAGATATTAAGAAATAACAATTTCTTTTTAATGAAAAAAAAATATGTTTCATGGTATTTCTGGTATAATGGTAACATTCAGAATTACATAATTCCTGCAGGAGGAAAGTGCCGTTTATAAAAACTTTAAAAAAAGAAAACAATAACATTTTTAACAACTTTTTTGTGCTTTAGAGTCAAAAAGACGGTTCTGTGCTAAAGCCGATGCCTAGCGTTTCTCACTTTACCATATATTTTCCTTTATAAAAGTTACTTTAATTTTCTTGTTCTAAATGATTTAACTTCTACGTAAATAGCGTATTTAAAACACCTTATTTAATCTTTAACTTATTCATGCATTTTTACATAATAATTGTCTAAACTAAACCAGTCAAATAAATTAGATGATGTCTCATAATCAGATGACTTAATTATATACTGCATGTCGCGTTTAAAACCTATAGGGCTAAGGCTGTATACTAATTAATTAATAAGTGTCTTATAAGATGTGAATAGATATGTAAACGTGTAGTTTGGCAGAGAGCATACTATCCCCGGTCTATTGTCATAATAATATGCAAAAAATTGCCAATACGCATTGTCACAATCATAAGTAATCTTTTTTCTTTAATAATGAAAATTATTTTACGTTACATTTATTTACGAGTATTATTGTTTATTCAAACTATTATATTTGATATTTTACATTCACATCTAATTTGTATGATTTGTTTTAATTAATATTATATATCTATAAATATGACATTATGACATTATATGATTTTCATCTATAACGTGATTGGTGTTTTCATGCCTTGTCACATTTTCACCAAAAACAGACTATTACACGACTCTTGGAGCGGACGGCCAATTTGTAACTGTACTTCCAATTGTTACTACCATGTATAAACATATAAGTAAGTTTAGGCCTAATTGTACCTAAAATATAGACATAGGCCTTAAAATCACAACACTATAATGGCAAATCTCAACATCATGTTCAATACCCCCTCCATGTGTATTATTTTGGTTTGCAATACAAAACGGCGTTTTTGTAACATTTTGTTTTGCAGATCCGGGCTTGATTAGCCTCAGGAATTTTACTGGTGCTCATGAAAATCAAGCGTTGTTATTTATGCTCACCACTCATTGTGTTCACAACATCTTTATAGTTATGAAAAAACGTGCTTCTTGTTCACGTGACTATAGTCGCATTATATAAGGACAGTTTAAGTGATTAAATTATATATAAATAGTACACTGCCTTGAACCAATTCACCAAACAAAAATATGTTTGCCAAATTGTTAACGGTTTTAGCTTTTACAGTTGTGGATCTATCACCATGTAAGTTAATGCAGAATTATCAATTAATCTTAAAATAATTTTACATTTTGATAGATATTTTGATAAGTATTACCTGATAAATGTTGAAGAAATACATAACGCTATTAATAACATTGTTTTATCGTTGAAATCATGAAAATTGTCAACGGATATAAAGTGAAGCTACATTTGGAGAACTGTTTTCATCCTTATGTTACATTCTCGTACGGGTGCAGAATATGGGACGTTGCATATGGATAAAGACGGTCGCAACTTATTTTCATGTTTTATCATAGGACAATGTTAAAAAATATGTTGCTCTTTTATATGAATAAACAGCAAAGGAGTGATATACAGCTTGCACCCATTTAACTCGGATAAAATGTTTCAGTATGTCAGTTATTGCTACGATAAACATTGAGAAAATGGAATGAATATATATATATTTATATATTATATATATATTTACTTTGTGATATCTCAAGCCTAAGATATTGAGAGCATTTCTTTTTGCTGACTGAAAGGCAAATTTGCATTGCATTTTAATGGATTTAGACCATGTTAAATGCTTAACACATGAATAAAGAAGCGTTGAACAAAATTAATTTGTAATAAGCAAAATGTAAAAAAGTGGTATTTTATCTTTCATACAAAATATCGATTTGTCTCGGCGATAACTATAGCAACGACCAAACAAATAACATCATTTCAGAAACAATAACAGAATACAAACATGTATAGCTTTGATAAGTAAAAAAGAGTATGTGTTGCATGTTAAGGGCCGAATGTTCCTTTTTATTGTTCATAAAACTTTTCTATGAGAGATTATGAACAATTGAAATATAATATCATAGTGTTATATATGGTAATTTATTTTTTTGTACGGCACAAATATTATTTTGTCGGATATAGTCAAGATCATTGATATTATTACTCAAAAATGAATCCTGCTTTGTAAGTGCAAGAAGCAAAATTTTAAGGCAAAAAAAAAATCAACAAAAAATATCTTCTACAATTTTCGGTTGAATATACATTTCAATCATTTGAATCATTTTATTATATTTTATACAGGTTTCGGTCAATTTGGTGCGGGCGGGGAAATGGGAGCGGGTATGGCTGGTTTAGGTGAGATGATGGCAGGTGGAATGGGAAATTTCATGATGGGCGGAGGAGGTGGAGGTGGAATGATGGGAGGAATGAATTCAATGATGGGAGGCGGCGGTACAAGCACTGGCGTAGGAGGAGGTATCGCAGCTAATATGATAAGACAACATGTTTCTAACGCCGTTCAATTTATTGTTGGCCCAGAAGCCAAGCCGGACCAAGCAATCATGGCCTATGCAACATCTCAAGGCCGAGTTCCTCGTACAATGTATGAAATGCTGCCGTATCTTCCCTATCTGCAAGAAATCGCACGCACAACATATGGACAATGGCTTGAGGCAGAGGCCACCGCTAACAGTGCTACTTCTTCAACAAGTGGAACAAAATCAAATTCCACAGTGGCAACAGATCAAGCAGCAAAAGCTAAACATCTAACTGCTCTTAAAAGAAGTCTTGAAGCGACAATAATGAGAAGATCTATAGAATATATGAACAGACCACAGACACAACAGGCAGCCGCGGGAGCTGGTATGATGGCCGTAATGGGACAAATGATTCCTAACATGATTAGAGGAATTGCAGCACAGTACATGTAGCTGTTTGATCATTGATTATATATGTATGCCTATGGAATATTGATCTGTTCTGAATTGATGTTTATCATAAGTTCTTTATGTTTCATGCTAGGGTTGAAATGATGCATTGATAACTGTAAACGTACTTGATTTGGTTTAAAATCTAGACTTTATCGGTTTGACCCTCAACGTCATCAAGAAAGATACATGTGACGTGCAATCGTGCTCAAGATCGCTTATTGTTTGATAAGAACTCCTAGCAATAAATGCAATATCTGCAGTAGACAAACTGGTACTACGAATGCTGATAGTACATTAATCCACCATTTTTATTGTAATTCTCAGGACACGGAAAATGCTACAGCCACAAAAGATATTAGGTTCTGCGGATATGGCGTGCTGTAAGAAGTCAGTTTGTGCTTGTATAAAAATGTTTGAGTCATACACGGAATGTGTTGAACCATGTCAACTTGTTATACAAGAGTTCACCATGTAATATTATTGAATTAAAAAACGAAATTAAATTCTTAAATCGTTAAAATCAGAAAAATCAATGCCAAGATAAATGTTACTTAAATAGTTTTATTACATGGTGACCTTTTGACATAAATTATGACAAGTTTCCAAAATTGTTTATGTATTGTTGACTATTTTTGGTTTAAAATTTTATATTGTGTATGCATGACACATGTCTTAATATTTGTAATTGTAAATTACTTATATTTTCAAATAGGAAACTTATTCAATGTACATTTCGTCCAAGCAAAGGCGGTTTTTGTTATTATGTTATAACATATTTTCCAGCACAAAAGTATCGTATGTTATAATAAAAGAAATAAAAACAACACTATATATTTAGTTAGTGTTATCCCTGTTTCACTGATGTCTGGTTGTTTTATTTGACTTCAAATCATCGGCGGCACTGTAAATGATATATAAAAACTGTCCTGTTCAATAGTGGAGGAAAACCTACTTAATCCCATCATTACCTTAGAAACCTCCGACCGTCCATAAGCTAGTTTGAAAGCTTCCTGATATTAAAGATTCCAAAGCCCCTTACGGTATCTGCATCCACAGCGTTGGAGGAGACCACCATTTATTAATGTAACATATGTAAGAATGATAGATAAAAAAGTAAATACAAGATTCTTTGAACCTTTTATTTGTTACAATTCAAGAAACAAGAAGTAGCATTGCAATATGATTGATAACGCATTTACGTATGTATTTACACCGTCTTTAACACCAAATGACTTAAAACCTGGTAAATATCTAAAATGAATGACAAGTAAGAGACTAAAAGTTTATGAAGAAAAAAGGTTAAAGCAAAATTTAAAGAAAATTTATAAAAATTATCAACTTTTAAGATAGAAATGAAAGCTTTCAGACTTAACATCAATTGTAAAACGCCGATGCAAATGTTAAATATTCGGAAATATAAAATCAAAAAGAGTAACATTCAAAGGGAAATGAAAACATTATTGCTGATATACATCCAATAGTTCACAGTACCTAAGACATTTTTGGGGCGTCCTTGGTCGAGTGCTTAAGGCCGTTGCTTCAAACCACTTGCCCCTCACCACTGTGGGTTCGAATCCCGACAGGGACTTTGAATTCTTTCATGTGAGGAAGCTATCCAGCTAGCTTCGGAAACGTCACTGGTTCTACTCAGGTGCCCGTTCGTGCCTAAAATAATGCACGGGAAGGGCACCAGAGGTCTTCCTCCACCAGTAAAACTGAAACGTCGCCAAATGACCTATACTGTGTCGGTGTGACGTAAAACCCAAACAAACAATCAAACCTTAGAAGTTTTAGACTGTTAAAGGATCTTTGAAAAGAAGGAACATTGAAACTATTGTAGCATAACACAATTATGACGTTGGAGCATGGGCCGCATTGTTTTCAACCAGATAGTCTGTTTGAGTTTGTTCTGTGTAATCAAATGAAATAAGTGATATCTTTCCTGTATTTTGCTTGTTTAATCAGCAACAGTTGTACAAAAGCCCGTGGTGTATTTGTATGTCAATGACTTATCGAGACAGTCTTTACATGTTCATTTCAAAGAAAGAAAATGAATAAATTAAAATATTTTGTGTAACAGAGCGAATATCAATACACGTCGAATATTGTTCTTTTAAATATCTCTTTAATCAAACTCTTTCCAATGGCAAATTTAAATAACTTTTATTTCAAATATTTTTTCACGGTTTAAACATCACAAAACAACAGTACTATTTTAAGAATATCAAACCTTTTGCTTAATATTTATGTACCGCTAATTAAAACACGGAAGACATATTTTATTGTCACTACACATCGACAATGATATGCAAAGCACGTGGTTGCAATGCATGTGATTTGAATGATTGTCAAATGATTATTATATAAAAGTAAGTTTCAGCTTATTCGAATCATAGATGAAGTAGTGCTCTTTCTTGAATCACACCACTCAACCAGAAGTATGTTTGCCAGATTTTTACCGATTTTAGCTGCTTTTGCTGTGGATCTATCACCGTGTAAGTTTTTTTCTATCAATAGTACTGTCAGAGGTACGAAAAAGATCAGAACAGAAATTACAATTTCATGAGCTTTAACTTCAATTCAGATGATCATTTATTGCAAGATGCTTTTTCGGACACTTAACCATTATCAGTTTGATACAAATGTAATCTGAATAATATGTTCTTGAAGGTTATTTCAGTTTGTTAATAAAATGATTTCATGTACATTCGACAACGGAAGATACTGTATTTTATTTTGTTGGAGGTTTATAATCCTTCTCATGTTCTATTTTATGTTCTTTCTTGTTATTCTAGATGTAAGATATATATAAGTTCAAGTCATTAGCTTCAAGATTCAATTGAAATGGCTGTTATTGTGTTTAAGTGCATAATACAAAACATACATCAGTTACAAGAGGGGTTTTCAATGGTCATATTTTTGAAGATTTTTGACGAAACGTCTAGGATTGAAGTATGTTAGCAGTCTAAATAATAATCGGTAAAGATTTCAGGTGGTTAAGCATTTAAGGTATCAGCTATAATACCAACAACTTATTAGTCGAGTACAACCGGACTACTCAAAGCCAGTGTCCTTTATATAACACTAGACTTGAATCACCCGCAAAATGTTTTTAATCAGTCTACACCTTAAATTCTATTCGATCAATATAAACAATATAATTGAATTGTTATTTTAGGTCTTGGTCAATATGCTGGTGCCGGGGGAGGTGAAGGAATGGCTGGAGGCATGGCTGGTATGGGGCAGATGATGGCAGGAATGGGCGGAATGGGGAATTTTGCAAGTATGTTTGGTGGAGGTGGTGGAGGAGGAGGCGGTGGAGAAGGAGGAAGAAATAACGGAATGATGAGTGCATTTGCGTCTATGATGGGAAACGGCGCTGGAGCTGAAAATGGAGCTGGAGCTGGGAATGGAAATGGAAATGGATTGCCACCAATTGCTGCTAATATGATCAGACAACAAGTTACTGAGGCCGTTCATTATATTGTTGGTCCTGAAGCCAAGCCGGACCAAGCAATTATCGCATACGCCACAACTCAGGGACGCGTTCCTAGTACAATGTTTGAAATGCTTCCTTATATGCCTTACTTACAAAAGATTGCTCTAACATCGTACGGACCGTGGCTTGAGGCAGAGGCCGCGGCTCCACCTTCAACGAATGGTACAAATCCGGCTACTGGACCAACTGACCCAGCAGTTAAAGCTAAAAATCTTGTTGCCCTGAAAAAAGCCCTTGAAGCGACAGTAATGAGAAGGGCTGTATCATATATGAACAGACCACAGACACAGCAGGCAGCCGCGGGAGCTGGTATGATGGCAGCTATGGGACGAATGATTCCTAATATGATTAGAGGAATTTCAGCACAATACATGTAGATGACAAGTGATTAGAATAGGGCAAATTGTTATTTTCATCATTTAAACAAACTGTAAAAAGATATCATTGAAGAATTCTGACTTTTTAACTAAACATGTTCAAAAATTGTTGCAAAAGACAATCGTGTCAGTGTTTTCGGTCTCTCTGAAAACTTTTCATCTATTTTGATGAATTGAAAGAGTAATGTTATCTTCTTTAAGGAGAATATGATAACTCTCTCATAACCTATTAGATGTAAATTTATAAATATAAAGAGCTGTGTGAAGCCTTTAAACTGGTTCTTGTTGCTGGGTCGTATGGGGGTTGCGTTTATTGAACGCCGCCTTTCCTTGTTGATCTCGTTTATCGTATTTTAAAGAATACAGAGAAAAATTGTCCTGACAGGACGCCCAGAATGACAAGATTTACAATGTTTAGTACGTCAAACAATGCCGATTATATTTATTTTGTTACTATTCTTTTAAAACACTGAATTTGTGATAGTCCCTTCTAGAACTCACAAAATGGCTGCTGCACAATTAATTGACTTGAATATCCATGCCCATGCCCAACTTACAGTCTGGATATACGATTTCGTTATCAATTTTAATGTAATCACTTTTGAAAGATCCCCTTTTCTCCCTAAGTTATAAACTTTCCTTACAATACATTATTATTTACGTTTGTTATATCAATGATATTTGAAATATTTATGATATTTGAAATATTACTTATTATCTTTGTATTCATATATTCATGCAAGATATAATATTTAACTTTGTTTTACAAGAGTGAACAGTGTATAACGAAAATGGCACAGATTGCATTATGCTTTATTTGAAGCAAACATGAATATTGCTCTTTTTAAATATTGTATACAATTTGTAACGAAGAATAAAGTTATGTTTAAAAGAAAATGAATTTTGTTTGTTTTCTATCATAATATGACCGGAATATGAAACGGGACAATTTCTTACCTTTTTATTATTCCTGATAGATTAAAAAACTTGAAAATCAACGCATCATTTTAATTAATTTTTTGTAACACTTTGTCGATTTTGACGAAAAGGTCATCATGTGTGATTGTAAAGACAGTATTTTCATCTAATACAATCATATTTTAGACAAAATTGCTCCCTTTCCTACCTACATTTAGTTATCAAAGTAAATAACCACGCGAAAATGCTTCAATACACGCATTGTCATAAAGTTAAACATGGTGTTAGAATGTCAGAACTCTTGTAGAATCATTGCACAATTACAAGCTTAGTTTAATTACATTGTAAAATTTTTTTTAACCCCAGTTGTAGTAACTCCCCTGACCCAGAAAAACTGCTATATTTGTTACTTTATTAAATAAATATATTCATAAAACAATGAGCAGAGCAAAATATAACCATCAAAATTTATGAAATAAACAAACACAACTATGTTAGCCAAATACATAAAATTTGTCGTTTGAGAAAAAGGCAAATATTGTATGTCAAAAAAGAGAAATAATTAAGCAAAGATGGCTTTATCTGTCTCTCACAAGTGCATTTTAATTTTTAAAGTAAACAAGAGTTCCAAGTTTTCCGTGAATATCTTTGATACCTTTCGAAAAATGTATCTTAACAAAAGAGTTAGCCAAGAAATTTCAAGTAAGAAAGACGCATAACTGAGCGAAACGTATGAGTTACCTGTCCTTTAGAGATGCATTCTAATTTAAACATTTAATAATAGTTTTAAGAGACTTACTTTGACAGTTTTTGAGGAATTGATCTCAAAAGAAAAGAAAAATGTCAAAAAGGTAATATTTAAATGGAATTTTATTACTATTTTCTTTTCTGTAAAGGTGTCATATTATTATAGTAAACATGTACATTTAGTTTAAGGTTAATTACGTACTTTGATAGTTTCTGAGAAAAATGGTATTGCACGGCCGTTTATAGATTATTTCATGTATCTTTACGTAATGTTAATTGTGTATACAAACATTGTGTAAACTCGCGCTAAATGATAGCGTAACACCATATGCTCGCTAAAAACAGATTATTCTTTTGCACTTTTGTAAGTCTTTATGTTGCGTATCGGATTAAGAGAATATTATTGTCATGTAGGTTCATTACTGAATCTATTTAACTCGTTATATATATAGAGAGTAATGAACCTATACAATTCAATATCCGCTATAAATGAAAGATTTGAAAATGGAAACATTGGATCATGTTCTTGCATCAGTTTGAAAACATGTGGACTCTCATGAAAGTTTGACACTTGTCACTTTAAGATATGATTCCAGGATGTATTCGATAATGATTTGTTACTTTCAAACTTTTATTCAACAATCGTTTTCCTAAATATGCAATGTTTTTTTAGTATATCACGTTTGAATGCTCTGATACTCGCATACCTCTGGATATTATGTACAGATCAACCTGAAACAGATGAATAAATGAGTTCTCGTTTTTCGAAATGACATTGCTGTGCTTGTCATAAGCTATATCTTTTGTCCTGCAGCTCTGATTGGAGAGTGTCCTGCAGGTGGTCCGAAGTCTGCCAGGTTTTCTTTTCCTAGGTGGAGTCAAACGTAAGACTACTTAGGTATGCGTTCTTGTGTCATCCTAAGCATATGTCACAGTCATCTGAAACTCTTTACAAAATAAGTGCTGCTAACAATCGTGAGTGCAGAATATTACACTGTCATACATTAACCATTTATCCCTGTAAGATGAATTGCCCTAATCAGATGGTCCGCTGACGCAGAGTTTTGGCGACCAGACCATGGATCATGGACCAGTACTTTTTATGCCTTGCCTGAGTACTTAATGTATACTATTTAGAGGAATTTTCATTTATTTTTATCATCACGTCATCACTTATGTCTGTAACTCTGAATAGGACGATGTTTGATACTACAAATGCATATATTTTGTGTCGTTTTTACCAAATTATCTCATACTTTTACATACATCATAACTGTTAAGTTTTATAATATTTAATTCATAACTGTACTTGATGTATAAAAAAATACACATCATTTTGATTTAGCAAACAGAAAAGTGTTTGACCAAGAGGTAAACCAACATTATCTGGCGTCTCTCCTGGAAGGAACGTTATTGCAAATTTCAAAAAAATTCAAGACATAGAACACGCTTGTTATATTATTACTTTACAAATTGTTCAAAAATCGCTTTGCCAAAAGAACTTAAAGACATTTTCCAGAGTTTTCATATAGACATATAGGCAAAATTGGCATGTTATTAGAATATGATAACAGAAACATTTTAAACGGAACACAATTTTTGGTCACCGTTCTCATGTTCGAGTTATCTGCCCTTGAATTGGACTTTTTCGTTTAAGTCAGGGGCAGATAACTTTCAATGAAGCGAAACAATACATTTTTTCTTCTTATTTTCATGAAGCTTACCTTTGTCTTAGTCAAAATGAAAAATTTCAAGAACAAATTAAGAGTGAATAGCTTTTTTTCTAACTTCTTCTTTTAACCTGTGCATTTTTTCTTAAAAATGGCCTATTTTTATATGAATTTAAAGTACCTTTATTTTCATTGGAAACAAATTAATAGAAAGAAACGATATAAGGAATTGCATGTAATTATGTATACTATTCAACAAAGAAAATGAAAAAAATATTATCCAGAAGCAAAAACAAGAATTCAGTTACGTATGTATAAGTTATTTGCCCTTTAAATGACCTCAAATAAGCAAAAAAATTCTGTTACAGGGTCAGATAACTCAAAAATAATTATTTCGGATATGTAAGAAATACATTATCATAACTGAATAATATGCAAGCATAACAAGTCATGAGTAGTAACAGATTATAAAACTGAGCTATCACAACTGCTGTCTTTCACAATACTCTTCAAGTCAACAGAACTATCACATCTAATATGTTGTATTTCAGAGATTTCACATAAATTTTATATCAGTTCAATAATTTGAAACTAACGTAAATAAAAAGTCAAATTTTCAAATTCATTTTTATTTATTTTATTACGTATTTTCATGTTTGCACATATAGTTAGGAGACATTTAAATTATCTCTTTTATTGTTTATAGTCAATTCATTTGAAGTACGAGTATTATACAGCGACCGCACCTGCTGTCATCATTATTCCCCTGGTTCTCATCCACCTTATTGATCTCTGCATAATGATGTCATTAATATTCGTTGCCCCATTGTGATTCTGGACATCGCCCGGAACAGGACCAAGTCCAACTGTACGGGCAATATTTTGTAAGAATGGGATATATCCGAATATTTGAAGTACTGTCCTCGGTGGACCGCCCTGTTGTGCTGCATAAGCTATAAGAGCCATATCCGGACTTGCATGAGGACCCAAAACATTTTGGACTGCGTTGTTTAGCACCGCGTACTGAATCGGTGGCATCTCTGCAACTCCAATAGCAAGACTTGCACTTAATCTATCATTACCTACGCCACCAGGTACATCAGCTAAAGGTACCACTCCCAAGTTTTGTATCTGAGCAATACCTGAAAAAGAATAAACAATACGTCATTAAGTGTAACATTCACAATCTGCTTTTTATACAAAGCATCCGTTATGAAATATAGTTGCATGGATTCTATCACAAAATCCAACAACTTTTAGAATTAATTAATACATTTCAAACTTACTAACGTAAGAGTGTACAAAAATATGTTTGTCACCAAAACATTTGATAGCAGCTATCTAAGGATAACAAAAGTCACATTTAAGGTTAAATTTATACAGTTTTATGGTCTAGTTCAGATAAACATTTCATAATCATCAGCTTCAAAAAATTGCAATAGTGTATAAATTACTTCCTTTGAATTATATCTTATTAATCGTAATTCACGACTGATTGTTAATAGAAGTTTTTAATTTTGGTCTAATTGAAATACATTTAGTTCATTTTACTGTCAGCATCTCAAACTTTTGACAAAACTCACGTGATTCGTCTCACGAAATACATCATGAATGTATTTTAGTACAACGGTTTCTTTAACAACATAAAAGCATGCATTTCTATCAATCAATCAAAATTGTCAGAAATTAACATTGTTATTCAGATAAAGTTTACATATATGATTACAAAATCATTTAGAAATGAATAATCATAGTGCTGGTTTAAAATATGTTATATGCTTAATTAACAAACTCGTGAAAAACCTGAACATTTATAATTTTCAGATTCATTATTGATGCAAAGATATCGATGTTTTTCCATTACATATATTTAAAGAAAATTGGTAACATGCTTAATTGATAATCAATGATTTGATTTTGTTTTGCTTTTTGTTGTTTTCCTTCAGGTTTGTGTTTTCAATTTTGCAGAACGTGTGTGTGCCCGTTTTACTTTCTATGTGTTTGCTTGTGTTTGCGCACGCGCGCGTGTGCTCGTGTGTGAATGTGTGGAACATGCTCAATTATAAGTGTGTGCGTGTGTGTGTGTGTGTGTGTGTGTGTGTGTGTGTGTGTGTATTTGCGTGTATTGCCTTGTAATGTGCCGTGTACGTGCGAGCGTGTAAGTACACGTATGTGTGTGATAATAATTATTCTTTTTGACAAATTTTGAACAAAATCATATAACATTGATTATAAAGATACAGGAAAAAGGTATTTGCTTATTATGATTAAAAGGAAATCTAAAAGGTCCATAGGCTGACTACGAGAAGTGTTCAAATATGAATGCATCAAGCACATCGAATTAGGTTCTTTAATTTTCATTGAATGTTTATTTTGTTCAATCAAAGTATTCACCTTTTACAGATACAGAAAGTCTTCTGATCCAATCTTTGAAAGCATTTTCATAGCCTTTTAGGTATACAATGAAGACACTGGAATACTTCAGAACAGGAGTGCTTGCATTGAACAAAATTTTAACTTTGAAAACAAAAAGAAATTACAAAGGCCAATGTGAGGTTCATACGAATGACTGGGGTCACAGCATTTATTTTCTTCTTCAGAAAGTCTTGCACGATAGACACATAGTGCATTGACTGGTTGTTATGCAGCAATGGTGCGTTGAAATGCAGCAATGACTTGTTGTAATGCAGCAATGGTGCGTTGCAATGCAGCAAGACGCTTTTTTATGCACCAATGGTGCGTTGTAATGCAGCAATGACGCGTTGTAATGCAGTAATGGTACTTTGTAATGCTGCAAGACGTGTTATTATGCACCAACGGTGCGTTGTAATGCAGCAATGACGCGTTGTAATGCAGCAATGGTACTTTGTAATGCAGCAAGACGCGTTGTTATGCAGCAATGCCGCGTTGTAATGCAGCAAGACGCGTTGTTATGCAGCAATGGTACGTTGTAATGCAGCAATGGTACGTTGTAATGCAGCAATGCCGCGTTGTAATGCAGCAATGGTGCGTTTTAATGCAGCAATGACGCGTTGTTATGCACCAATGGTACGTTGTAATGCAGCAATGGTGCATTGTAATGCAGCAATGGTATTTTGGAATGCCAGCAAGACGCGTTGTTATGCACCAATGGTACGTTGTTATGCAGCAATGGTGCGTTGTAATGCAGCAATGGTACGTTGTAATGCAGCAATGGTACGTTGTAATGCAGCAAGACGCGTTGTTATGCAGCAACGGTGCGTTGTAATGCAGCAATGGTACGTTGTAATGCAGCAAGACGCGTTGTTATGCAGAAATGACGCTTTGTAATGCAACAAAACGCGTTGTTATGCACCAATCGGACACTGGCCAAACCTCTGGTGGGTTTTTTTTTACCTTCAAAAGTATTTGTTAAATTTTCGAAGAACTTTCGACTTGTAAAATTTCGCGTAAACAGAGCAACCTGAATGGCTGATCCCTGAGATGTAAAGAAAATTACTTTCTCTATACTGATATTCCCTTTTGAAATGCATGGTCTTCTGTCAGACTTTATAATTTCAACAGTTTCATGTTTAAATTTAGTTCTGCTTAAGTCGGTGCTAAAGGGCATGAACATGTGTCAGTCAAACCGGGCCTGCAACATTTTTTTTTGTTTCTGGCAGTTTTTAGGGATTCCTTCTGTCTGTATTTTATTGCCCAAATCTTGTTTTGAAGTCTTTGGTCTGACTCATAAAAACGAGCCCATATCTCGTCACCAGTGACGACATTTGCAAAAGACCGTGCATTTCTTTTTGAATACCGTTTGAACAACAACTAAGTTCATTGCACGCGAGTGTTTCTTGTCATCTGTCATCAAATGGGGAAACCACTAAGCACATAATATGAACATATGACCTCAACTTTTCATAACAAGACTTGTCCGCGGACAGCATGCTCAACGTTTCTCAGTTGTCAAATAATTTATAGAAAGGGGGGAATAATTCCGAAAATATACTCAGAAGACATACCTGCCCTTGATAGCCAACAAAAGTTTCAAACTTAAAGTTAAAACATTTGACGGTGTTTGAGAAAAAGGCAAATATTGTATGTCAAAAAAGAGAAATAATTAAGCAAAGATGGCTTTATCTGTCTCTTACAAGTGCATTTTAAATTTTAAAGTAAACAAGAGTTCCAAGTTTTCAGTGAATATCTTTGATACCTTTCGAAAAATGTATCTTGACAAAAGAGTTAGCCAAGAAATTTCAAGTAAGAAAGACGCATAAATGAGCAAAAAGTATGAGTTACCTGCCCTCTAGAAATGCATTCTAATTTAAACATTGAATTAAAGTTTTAATAGATTAACTTTGACAGTTTTTGAGGAATTGATCTCAGAAAATAAGAAAAAAGTCAAAAAAGGGAATATTGAAATGGTATTTTATGACTATTTTATTTTCTGTAAATGTGTAATATTTTGATAGTAAACATAAAAATATAGTTTGAGGTTTATTACTTTGATAGTTTCTGAGAAAATGGGTCTTAACCAAAAGGTGAAATTGGGACATACCATTGCATAACATTATTTTAGAATTATCTGCCCTATTAAAATGGCGTTCTTTTATGTCAAGAAACATGCATACCAAATTTGAAAACAATAGATATAATACGTTCTACGAAAATGAACCTGAGCGAAAAGGTAATCGAACTCTCACGCTGACGCCAACGCCGACGAGAGGGTCATGACAATAGCTCAATTTTTTCTTCAAATATTTGAGCTAAAATGTACAAAATACAGCCTCTTTTAAAATCTATCATGAAAACTATGTGACTAAGTATTTATTCAAGCCCCAAATCGGTCCTTGAATATCACTATTATTTATTGAATGCATTATCTTACATCTGCAAAAGAGAAACGTCGATAAAAGAGTCGGCCGATATTTAAACATTGGAATAACGGCATTTTCGCGGGAAGGGTTTTGAACAATATTGAAATTACTTATGAGGCAACCATGGTAAAAGATTGACCCTTCTTCGTAGTATGAATTTTCCAAGAGCCCTCATAATATTGCGTATATGAAACACGTTATGGTTTACGAAAGAAGTAATGTTTACGAAATTTGTGACGAATATTTAGGTGGTCATGTAATTGATTTTAACTCCGTAATAATGGTATTGCATGGCTGTTTATAGATTATTTCATGTATCTTAACGTAATGTTATTTGCGTATACAACCATTGTGTAAATTTGCGCTAAATGGTAGCGTAACACTATATTCTCGCTAAAAAAAGATGATTCTTTTGCACTTTCATAAGTTTTTATTTTATGTTGCGTTTTGGATAAACGGAATATAATACTTTCATGTAGGTTCATTACTGAATCTATTCAACTCGTTCAATATATTCAGTATTGAACATACATACATTTAATGTCCGCTATTTATATCAGAATGTCATTTGAAAATGAAAATTTTTATGCTGTTCTTGCATCAGTTTGTAAACATATGAACTCTCATGAAAGTTCGACATTTGTCACTTTATGAAATGATTCCAGGATGTATTCGATAAAGATTAGTTACTTTCAAACTTTTATTCACCAATCGATTTCCTACATATGCAATGTTTTTTGTTTTTTTTTAAATATAGCACGTCTGAATGCTCTGAAATTCGCATACCTCTGGATATTATGTCCAGATCACCCTTAAACAGATGATAAAATGCTCCCTTTTGTCGAAATGACAGGATTTTGAAATCTTTCCTGTACTGTCACCGTACATACAAGTGATCGTGTTGCATACCTCACCTACCTCACTTATCCTCTTTATCCCCACTGATGCATAAGGCTATAACCAGTTCAACTCATTTCCCACTGCCCTTTTCTATTTTCTGTGCTTGTCCGAAGCTATAACCCTGGTCATGCAGCTCTGATTGGATGGTTATCCTCCAGGTGGTCCGAATTCTGCCAGATTTTCTTTTCTCAGGTGGAATCCATCGTAAGACTACTTTAGGTATGCGTTCTTGTGTCATCCTAAGCACATGGCCCAGCCATCTGAAAAGCCTCCATTTCAGTTTTGTTGCGATCGTGTTGCATACATACTTACTATCCTTTGAATATCTACCTGATCGTTTACAGAACAAGTGCTGCTAACAATCGTGAGTGCAGAATATTACACTGTCATACATTAACCATTTATCCCTGTAAGATGAATTGCCCTAATCAGATGGTCCGCTGACGCAGAGTTTTTGCGACCAAACCATGGATCATGGACCAGTACTTTTTATGCCTTGCATGAGTACTTATTGTATACTATTTAGAGGAATTTTCATTTATTTTTATCATCATGTCATCACGTATGTCTTTAACTCTGAATAGGACGATGTTTGGTACTACAAATGTATATATTTGTGTCAGTTTTACCAAATTATCTCATAATTTCACATACATCATAACTGTTAAATTTTATAATATTTTATTTATAACTGTACTTGATGTATAAAAACATACACATCATTTTGTTTTAGCAAACAGAAAAGTGTTTGACCAACAAGTAAACCAACATTATCTGGCGTCCTTCCTGGAAGGTCTTATTGATTTACTTAAAGGAACTTTATTGCGAATTTCAGAAATTTCAAGACATATAACATGCTTGTTATATTAATACTTAACAAATTGTTAAAAAATCGCTTTGCCAAATGAACATAATAATTAATTCGAATAAGTAAGAAAACATTATCATAACTGAATTATATGCAAACATAACAGGTCATGAGTAGTAACAGGTTATAAACCTGAGCTTTTACAGCTGCTGTCTTTTAGATAACCAACTAAGATAACAGAACAAACACATGTAATATGTTGTATTTCAGAGAATTCATGTAAATTCTATTTACAGTACCTTTGAATAACTTGAAATAAATGTAAATAAAAAGTGAAAATTTCAAATTTATTGATTATTTATTTCCTTACGTATTTTCATGTTTGCACATATAGTTAGGAGACCTTTAAATTATCTCTTTTATTGTTTATAGTCAAGTCATTTGATATACGAGTATTATACAGCGACCGCACCTGCTGCCATCATTACTCCCCTGGTTCTCATCCACCTTATTGATCTCTGCATAATGATGTCATTAATATTCGTTGCCCCATTGTGATTCTGGACATCGCCCGGAACAGGTCCAAGTCCAACTTTACGGGCAATATTTTGTAAGAATGGGATATATCCGAAGATTTGAAGTACTGTCCTCGGTGGACCGCCTTGATTTGCTGCATAAGCTATAAGAGCCATATCCGGACTTGCATGAGGACCCACAACATTTTGGACTGCGTTGTTAAGCACCGCGTACTGCATCGGTGGCATCTCTGCCACTCCAATAGCAAGACTTGCACTTAATCTATTATTACCTCCGCCACCAGGTACACCAGCTAAAGGTACCACTCCCAAGTTTTGTATCTGAGCAATACCTGAAAAAGAATAAACAATACGTCATTAAGTGTAACATACGTGAATAATAGAATCTATCATTGGGTTTGATAGAGGATAGGGAAATCCCAACCCGAGGGTGATCGGTTCCATCGGGAACGAGCCTTGGCGAGTTCCCGATGGAACCGATTGCCCGAGGGTTGGGATTTCCCTAACCTCTATCTAACCCAATGGTTGATTATTTTTCTCACTCACCTGGACACACAAATATCAGTGAATCTACTTGCTACGCGCATTACAACGTACCTAGTTTTGAAAAGAGGGCGGGGCTTAGGCGCCTGACTAGCATTATGTACATCCGCAAAAAAATTCATCTGACCAAGTTTATGTGTAAAAAATTTAATGAAAATAAATTCATATGAAATCCTTCATCAAAAAGCAAGGTTATCATGATAAAACAGATCGATATTAAAAACGAAAAGTGCCATAATATAAGTGTTTATAAGGAATTCAGTCCATACTTCAATGGTTGACAAAAAAGCGATTACACTTTGCAAAGATTTTTCTACTTTTTCGGTTATTTTGGCCGAATATTCAATTAAAAAATATCAAAATGAGATTCGCCATCAAGAAGCATCATTATCATAACAAAAAACGTGAATGTTTTTCAGGCAAAGTGTCATAATATCCGATTTTACGAAGAATGTTTCGATATTTTAAAGTGTGCTATTTTTAGGAACAGATCGTTATTGAAAAGGGCGGCTCTAGGTAGAGTAGGACTCATTGCAGCGTGAAAGTTAAAATCAATCTATTTTGATTCCGTAGACAATTTAATAGATTAGCTCACAAATTTTTAATACATTTTGACTTTTTGACGTTTCATTTTTGTTAAAATAGGAGTGAATCGCGTATTATTTAGAAGTGCTGCACGTTGAGTGTGAGATAAGCCCATGTGAGATAAGATTTTCCAACACCGCTATTTTAAGTAACATTTAAGGATTTTTAATCTGGTTAGTGAGAAACAATACTTCACAATCCGCTTTTTATACAAAGCATCCGATATGAAATACTATAATTGCATGGATTTTATCACAAAATCTAACAATTTTTAGAATTAATTAATACATTTCAAATTTACTAACGTAAGAGCGTACGAAAATATGTTTGTCACCAAAACCTTTGATAGCAGCTATCTAAGGATAACAAAAGTCACATTTAAGGTTAAATTTATGCAGTTTTATGGTCAAGTTTAGATAAATATTCAATAAAATGTTATTAAGCAGGAAATACATAATCATCAACTTCAAAAAAATTGTAATAGTGTATAAATTACTTCCTTTGAATAATATTTTATTAATCGTAATTCACGTCTGATTGTTAATATAAGTTTTTAATTTTGGTCTAAAGGAAATACATTAGTTCATTTTACTGTCAGCATCTCAAACTTTTGACAAAACTCACGTGATTCGTCTCACGAATAACATTATGAATGTTTTTAAGTACAACGGTTTCTTTAACAACGTAAAAGCATGTATTTCTATCAATCAATCAAAATTGTCATAAATTAACATTGATATTCCGATAAAGTTTACATATATGCTTTATGTCTCTGTTGCAAAATCATTTAGAAATGAATAATCACAGTAAGCTGGATTTGGGTTTAAAACATGTTATATGCTTAATTAACAAACTCGTGAAAAACCTGAACATTTATAATTTTCAGATTAATTATTGATGCAAAGATATCGATGTTTTTAACTTGCGATTCCAATACATATATTTAAAGAAACTTGGTAACAAGCTTAATTGATAATCAATGATTTGATTTTGCTTTTTTTTGTTTTCCTTCAGTTTTGTGTTTTCAATTTTGCAGAAAGGATGTGTACCCGTTTTACTTTCTATGTGTTTGCGCAAGCGCGCGTGTGCTCGTGTGAGTGTGTGTATGTGTTTGCGTGTATTGCCTTGTAATGTACCGTGTACGTGCGAGCGTGTAAGTACACGTATGTGAGTGATAATAATTATTCTTTTTGACGAATTTTGAACAAATCATGTAACATAAAAGGAAATCTAAAAGGTCCATAGACTGACTACGAGGAGTGTTCAAATATGAATGCATCAAGCACATCGAATTAGGTTCTTTAATTTTCATTGAATGTTTATTGTGTTCAATCAAAGTATTCACCTTTTACAGATACAGAAAGTCTTCTGATCCAATCTTTGAAAGCATTTTCATAGCCTTTTAGGAATACAATGAAGACACTGGAATACTTCAGAACAGGAGTGCTTGCATTGAACAAATTTTTAACTTTGAAAACAAAAAGAAATTACAAAGGCCAATGTGAGGTTCATACGAATGATGGGGGGGGGGTCACAGCATTTATTTTCTTCTTCCGAAAGTCTTGCACGATAGACGCCTAGTGTAATGAATGGTTGTAATGCAGCAATGGTGCGTTGAAATGCAGCAATGACTTGTTGTAATGCAGCAATGGTGCGTTGTAATGCAGCAAGACGCGTTGTTATGCACCAATGGTGCGTTGTAATGCAGCAATGACGCGTTGTAATGCGCAATGGTACTTTGTAATGCAGTCAGACGCGTTGTTATGCAGCAATGCCGCGTTGTAAAGCAGCAAGACGCGTTGTTATGCAGCAATGGTACGTTGTTATGCAGCATTGCCGCGTTTTAATGCAGCAATGGTACGTTGTAATGTAGCAATGCCGCGTTGTAATGCAGCAATGGTACGTTGTAATGCAGCAAGACGCGTTGTTATGCACCAATGGTACGTTGTAATGCAGCAATGGTGCGTTGTAATGCAGCAATGGTATTTTGTAATGCAGCAAGACGCGTTGTTATGCACCAATGATACGTTGTAATGCAGCAAAACGCGTTGTTATGCACCAATCGGACACTGGCCAAACCTCTGGTGGGTCTTTTTACCTTCCAAAAGTTTTTGTCAAATTTTCGAAGAACTTTCGACTTGTAAAATTTCGCGTATACAGAGCAACCTGAATGGCTGATCCCTGAGATGTAAAGAAAATTACTTTCTCTATACTGATATTCCCTTTTAAAATGCATGGTCTTCTGTCAGACTTTATAATTTCAACAGTTTCATGTTTAAATTTAGTTCTGCTTAAGTCGGTGCTAAAGGGCATGAACATGTGTCAGTCAAACCGGGCCTGCAACATTTTTGTTTGTTTCTGGCAGTTTTTAGGGATTCCTTCTGTCTGTATTTTATTGCCCAAATCTTGTTTTGAAGTCTTTTGTCTGACTCATTAAAACGAGCACATATCTCGTCACCAGTGACGACATTTGCAAAAGACCGTGCATTTCCTTTTAAATACCGTTTGAACAACAACTAAGTTCATTGGTTTAAACATATTTTATTTAGAATATTTGTACATGTGTAAATAACAACATAACAATAATTATAGATTTTGGCCGAAAGCAGAAGCTTATAGAAGCCATTAACTAAGTTCATTGCACGCGAGCCTTGCTTGTCATCTGTCATTAAATGGGGAATCCACTAAGCACATATCTTTCTCATTTATTCATTGCGTTTTAGAATGGTATGAGCTGCTCTTAATGAGATGCCAATGATACTAGCTCTTTGCCTAATGGTGTTCTTTACCATTTCTTTTTATTTCGCAAACAGACTTTGCAATTATAAGCTGACAGAAACGGGTTATATCTTCAGTCGATATTGACCCACACTTGAATTTACTTATCCTACGAATAACTGATGAAAAAATATATTTCATTTTGTTCGTATACAGTACAGATTTCACAAAAAATTCATTTACAGTAGCTCCTTATGCCAAGTAGACAGCGATTCTTATACAATGACGTACTCTGATCGTCTAGATCTTCTACCAACAATTGTTGTAGTACAATATGTGAGGAGTCAAAGTGAACGGATTTTTTTAATGAATTGATCAATGTAAAGCTAACATGTATGTCTAGCTAATAATCTTCATTACGGCTTGTTTTTATTTTTCGCAATATAAAACAATTTAACATTCTAGATGCATTCATATTTGATCACTCCACATGTCTCTGTTTTGTGTGAGAACATCATTTCAACACCTTTATGAAGTCAAATGGAGTTTATAATTGTGTCTTGATTTAAAATTGAGATTTCATTTCTAAACAATTGCAATTTTTTTTAAATTAAAACAAGATTGATTGTGTAGTATCCAATCATAAAAATAATAAAATACATATTTACAATCTTACAAAATTAATGTTTTTTATTTTCCCCCAAAATTTCTCTCTTTAAAATTATCTCTTAAAACATTAATAATAAGTTTGAAAAATTTGATTTATAAAAAACTTACATATTGTAGCAAAGAAATCCAGTAGAAGACAAAATACTAATATTCTTGAATTGCGGTTCATTGTTCTAGCAGATGTCGAAAACTGGACTGTTCAAAGAAAATCTAACTTAATTTATACTTGTCAAAAGCAAAAGATTAGATTGACAGCACCTGTCACAATGACAAGTCATTAAACTTGGTCTGCCATAATAATATGGGAATTATTACAAATCTTGAATTGTTATTTCGATTTTGAAAAAAAAAACGCAAAAAAAACCCAACAAATATTCAAATTTATGAGAATTTAAACGAAATAAAACATTTAAAACATAAAATGTAGCATAAATGATTAAGTAAATTAAAATTTGTATTTCCATTTATCATTAAAATGCAAAATTTGATGTTGGTATGTAAGAAAAATTATTTCTTTTCTTCAAATCTCACCTATCAAACCTTGGACTTTAAATATCGTTAGTCACATATCAAACATAAAAGAAAAAAAACAAGTATTGAATTTTAACTTATTATATTCCCAAAGTATACATACTAATGTTCATACAAGAAGGTATCAGGCATAATTATTTTCATTCGTCAAAAGGATGAGAACGAGAAAAAAGTCTTGATTAATTGCTCCACTTTGAATTCAATATATGATGAAATAACCATTAATAATATAGCTCTTATATATAATGTAATAATATAGCTCTTAAAATATATTTCAATTTGAAAGGATAAACAAAAATTGGGAAAGCCATGCCTTTTATTTTCTTTTAAATATTTATACCATATTCAACAACATATAAATTAAATAAACTTCTATAAAATGACTTTCATGAAATAATTAAAATTAAAAATAGTAAGTAAAACCTTTTTATACCATAGTGACGTGTCATTGAAACAAGTAGAGACAAATAAATATGCAAAGACTCTTTGCCAGTTGGACCTTTAGGTCATCTTAATCAGGAAATTATACATGGAACGCAATTTTTTTTTTTATAAAAAATGATGATGCTTTTAACATGTGACTTAATGCTTGGTTTACTATTAGCGCCGGCAACATTTTTTCCGAATCTGCTGGTCTAATTGAAGTATATTTCAACTTGATTGACCTTGATGTGATATGGCGTAACTTATCATTACATTGAATCTGAAAATGACTACATACTCTTCAACAGCCACTTTTCTTTTTTATAGGAAACATTTTCATATGCAAGCTTTTCCCCTTTTGTTCCATACGACAACTTGAAATTAGATAGAATTTAAAATATTTCATCAGTAAAGAACCATCATGATTTAAATTACGATTGGTCTACTTACGGTTTTGTGACTAAAATTACTCTATTTGAAAGATTCAAGTTAATTTGAGACTTTTCTTATCTGAATTAAGTGTTCTCATATTTAAAGAAGAAAACATTCAATACAGTAAGGGCATGTACTCAATATTGTATCTTTCTCTTTGATCTCTATTTTCACGAACAAACCAACTTTTATCTTTATATTCACGAACAACCAAACACATATACATATTGTTAATAACAAAGCAAAGGTCTTCTTTTGTTAAAGGAAATATATCGTACAAACGTGTCACATTGAAAGTTCAATTATATAAACACATCTGAGGGTGTTTCATAATACCACAATTCGCCATTTTTTCAAGTTTTAATGCTGAATTATGCTTAAGCTAGTTCATTGTTGCCGTTTTGGACGTTCATTAGGGATAAGGGATACAGTATATTTTCTCCTAAATCGCGATTTATGCCATTACGGTTTCCTTAACCGAGATTCATATCAATTTGATTTCTTTAGCCGACATTCATGCCATTAGGATGTTTATACCTAGATTCATGCCATAATGGTATCCTTAATCAGCATTCGTATCATTATGGTGTTTTTGGTTTCCTTTACCGAGATTCATGCCATTTTAGTTTTTTTACCGGAGATCCATACGATTATGTTAGGCTTAATCGAGATTCATGCGTTTATGGTTTATTTAACGAAGATTCATACCATTATGCTTTTTTCATTAACCGATATTCCTTTAATTATGGTTTCCCTAGCGTATATCAATTGAGTTTAATCCATGGTTTATCATATCGTGCAGCATATAATTGATGACAATTTACCGCACAGTAAGTGCATTTGTACTTTGTCACTGATAAATTGCACGTAATAAATTAAAATTAACTAGCGTCTCTTGGTTTACATACGCAACAACAATACAGCTATTTGTCCATAATCTTGAACAAATTTCATTAAATTTTGACGCATACATTATACCAAAGAATCTCAACTTTGTTATTAGAATTGTATGAGATCATATTTAGTACATCAAATTGGAAAATGATGAAACAAGATGTTCTGTGTGAAATAAACCTTTTTCTTTTCATTCTTTTCAGAGAAATATAAGTGGTTCTGGTCAATACCTTGATTTTTTTTCTGTCCGGGGCATATAACAATATAAAAATTATTAAAGTATTCACATAAATAACAGGTTTGGGGTTTTACTTTAAATAAATATATCATCACGACTAAGAAACGAATAATAAATTTACTTCCTAAGAAAGGGCAAACAATGAGTTAAATAACATAAAATAATGGTTTTAGGGCATGGAAACGCCTGAAGACATTGAAAAGTTGTGATACCAATACCAAAATGTCAATAAAATGGTATTATGGACTTTAATACAATATACTAAATCACTTTTACTGCAAAAATTGTCAAAATAAAAAAAATAAAAATAAAAAATTTATATATATATATAAAAATAATTCCTGTAATAGTGCAATGAGTAACTTTTTTTTAAAACTATAATAGGACATAGATATAAATAGCTTTTTGAAAATAAAAATTAAAAAAACTTTTTTTCTGACGAATAATGGGTCTTTAATATGGTTTGGTGAAATAAGGATACACAAGATTAAAGAAAATCATATACTGTATGTGGTAGATAATGAAAACTTATTTTGTATCAAGTTTAATTTACAAAACTGATTTAATAACATAAGACTATCAACATATATCATTTGACGCATTTATCTTCAATTTTCATATGTCATGTTCCTTTGCGTCACGTGAGTTAAACTTTAACATTAATGTTATTATTCTGTCTGCACGTTTGTAACGTCGATTTCAATTGGATAATCGTGTCATTCATATTGAGTATGCACACGGCTGCTGCTGTAAATAATGATTTGTTTTTTATTTTGACAGGTTGTTTAAATAATTGTTAGATAATATAGGCGAGGCTTTATAAGCAACAGCATTTACAGGGCGTCGAGTATGTCTTTTCACGGCAATATAACCTGTCAAAATGTCTATATAACAAATTTATTAAACTGCAAATTTGTTCCCTTTGATTTCGATATTGTATATGAATTCTATAAACATCATGGTTGTCCAATGAAAATTGACGTTTCAAACGAGACGTATATCAAAAAGTTCTATAACATTCTATTTATTTATTACAATAGAAAATGCAATTTCTGCAAGAGTTGTTGCCCCGAGAGACAGACAAAGATATCTAATCGTACCCATTTATATTTTTTGGGGGAGCTTTCTTGTTTGTATCATGAGATTAGTTAACTCTGTTATTGCAGTTAGTATTTTATGGCTACCATAATTTATATGCTCATTGCAGATCCTATCGGACTTGCGAGATAATTTGGTTCTTTTATAATCTGTTGTGCTCTAATATCATATCTGGTATAAGATTTGGTGACATTACAGGGCAGTTCAATTTTGGATGTGCTCGTGCTTTTATATGGTCTAGTTCTTCTTCTTCTTCAGTGCTTTTAAAATTTTCTAATCTGACTCTAAGGATAAATAGACATTTTCACTCTTTCAAAATGTTTCTTTTGTTGCCTCTGGGTCTCTTGTGAGTCCCATTTCTATCTCTAACTGAAAGCTTGTTTTTTTTTTTTAAAAAATTCTCCCTTTTCTTATTTTGAATATGCTCCAGAATAAGTTGTGCCTGGGCATTCCATACTCTTACCAGGCCCGATATGCTCATCTCTGCATTTTGTGGGTCATTTCTACTTCTATGACAAATATTGAATTCTAGAATTAGGTTAGAACTAAGTGTTGCATTTACTAATGCATGGTTAAAATTAATGAAATTAGAGAGAATAGAGTATCTAATACACGTACATATCAGTGTTCAAAAATGTCCATTTTTTCAGCCCCGCGGAATGAATGTTCATAGATGCTCATTATATTTGTGTTTAGTTAGCAACAATCTTCCGGAAATTGATTGTTGGTCAGTGAAAATGCAAAAGAAAAGATCTTGAAAATCACTAATAAGCATGTTTATTATTGTAAGATAATGTTCAAAACGAGTTTTAAAAGTAATATATAATAATATACAATGAAGTTCCATGTGCCTAACGTCGTTTATATTGATTTTCTGGATGGTTTGAAGCAAAACAAAGGCTCCGGGTTTTCCCTACAAATTCTATCAAATATTGTACTATGTATAAGTTATATACCAGCATTCTTAATGAACGAATTGTTAAGTGGACCAGTAATGTTGATACTTTAGTCGAAGAGCAAAATGGATTTCGAAGAAATCGGAAGTACTATTGACCATGTTTCTAGTTTACCTAATATCATTGACACGCGCAAGAAATGCAAATTATCCACCTTTTGTGCCTTCATTGATTTTCGAAAAGCACTTGATTCAGTTAATAGAAACGTGCTATGGAAAAAGTTAGAAAATATAGGTATTTCAACAAAAATGTTAAGTGCTGTAAAATCTCTTTATTGCAATGTCACATCTTGTATCAGGGTAAACAGTTTAACAACTGACTGGTTCCCAGTAAATTCCGGAGTAAGACAAGGATGTTCGCTGTCATCTGTATTGTTTAATATCTATGTTAATGACTTAGCTTTGTTACTAAAAAATAGTAACAAAGGCATTGCCATTAATGAAGATATTATTGCAATTCTTCTATATGCCGATGACATTGTATTGATAGCTGAAAACGAAGAAAACCTTCAATGCATGCTGGATTTATTGTCTAAATGTGTACTGTAAATGGTATGTCTATAAATGTTGAAAAAAGTAATGTTATTCATTTTAGAAACCCTTCTACACCAATATCAAATTCAAATTTACATGTTAGAAACTGTTAACCAATACATGCATCTAGGCCTATTGTTGAACGAATATTTGGATTACAATATCACGGCTAAACATGTATCTCAAAGTGCAAGTCTTGGTCTCCTTATAGCAAAATTTAAAAATTCAGAGGGTTTGCATTTTAATGTTTATACGAAACTGTATTATACATGTGTTGTACCTGTTATAACATATGGAGCTTCTATTTGGGGTACAAAATCTTATAGTTGTATTAATAGTATTCATAACAGAGCTATGAGGTATTTCCTAGGCACGAGTAAATACACACTAAATGCTGCTGTATATGGTGAAACAGGTTGGAATCCAATTATTGTTGAGCAATGGAAAGCAGTGGGTAACCACTGGCACAGAACTCTTTGTCTTAGAGAAAGTAGAATGAATAAGAAAATTTTCAACTGGGCTTTTAACAAAAAGGGAAAAAATTGTAAAAACTGGTGCTATATTGTTGAAAACTTTTTATTGTCATTAGGACTTGATCAATATGTTCATTTCCCGTTTAATCGCAAAAGTATGGTTGATGATTTAACTAAAGCTTTGGTTGATGTTCATATCGATCAGTGGAAAGCGGATATTTCCAGGGAAAACAGTAGCAATGGTTCCGGGAGAAATAAACTTCGTACATACAGGCATTTCAAAAAAGAGTATGTTACATAGAAATATTGTCGTTTATTAATTCCTGTTTCTAACAGGTCAGCTTTGGCTAAATTCCGTTGCGGAGTTGCACCTATCCGTCTTGAAACTGGTCGATATGAACACTTACCTGAACATGAAAGGATATGTCCACTTTGTCTAAATGGTATTGTAAATGAAATGCATGTAATAATGGAATGTTCTTTGTATGACAACATTAGGATACCATTGTTAGATTATGCTAACTATACTTGTGACTTATTTACTACAATGTCAAAACATGAAAAGTTTATGTACTTATTTGCCCACCAGGACACTCATATGATAAGATTGCTCGCAAACTCCTGCTGTGAGATTCTTAAATATAGAAACAATTTGTTATATAGTAAGAATACTAATTAAATTGTAACACACCACTATTGTTTAACTATACAATAGCACAACTATAACAAGTTTTAATGGTTTTATTTGTTAATACAAGTACAATTTAAAGATGTTTATAAGCTAACTGGAAATTATTATTTTTAAAGAAGTAATATCTTGTAATTAGGACTAAATACATCATAAGTACAAAATTTTAACTGTTTCATATGGTTTTAAGTAATTAGTATTTTACAAGCTTCATTTTACAATATATATAAATTATTTTTTACAGGTACTCTGAAAAAAACAAGCAATTATCATAGTATTGCAAGCAATCCATAAGTCCCCTACCGCTAAGAACCCCAGCAACATTCTGATGGGCCATTGGCCATTCAATTTTACCAGTGAATGAATTACATGAATGAACTTATATCTTTTGAGTTCTAAGTTTGTCTATATCACAGTAATGTGTTAAGTTTCCCTGCCTAGTAAGGAAATTATGTTTATACAACCTTGTCATATTATTACAATGTGGGATTTTAAAGTAATCCTATAAGGAATGAAGAAGGTGGAGTGAAAAATACCAATTTCTCGAAAAAAATCTAAGTTCAAAGGGGACATAATTCTGGAAATAGTCTTGCTAGAGTATTTAACCTTCTCAAAAATGTCGAGTGATAATAAGAAACATATATATGAAGTTTGAAGTAGATACATTAGGAAATAAAGAAGTTATTTAAAAAAGACAACTTGTTTTTTTCATAAAAATTCTAAGTTCAAGGGAGGTAATACTGATAATTTTTGTGCTAGAGTTGTAAACCTTGTCACATATGATGTGGTTGATAACCTGAAACTTGTATTTAAAGTTTGAAGTAAGCACCTTAAGAAATAAAGAACTTATAGTGAAAAGGCTGAAAAATTTAAATCAGAAATCTTGAAATTCAGACTATTTGTTGCCATAGCAACCAGAATTTTCAACATAGGAAGAAAAGAAAAAGATGTGCATAATCTCCAGACTGCCATCTACCCATATTTTAAGTTTCATAAAAATATTTTCAGTACTTTTTAAGTTATCACTGGATCTAGTTTATGTGTTAAATTTGCCATATTTTCAGACTATTTGTTGCCATAGCAACCAGAATTTTCAACATAGGTAGAAAAAAAGACGTGCATAATCTCCATACTGCCATCTATCCATATATCAAGTTTCATAAAAAATATTTTCAGTACTTTTTGCGTTATCGCGGGATCCAGTTTTGTGGACGGACGGACTGACGGACTGACAGGCATATGGACAGACAGACAGACGGACAGACAGACAGACGGACGGACGGAGGGTTAACCTAAAGTCCCCTCCGGTTAAACCGGTAGGGGACTAAAAACAACTTTTTATTCCTTTTAGCCACTTTGTACTTGATTTTAGTAGTAAGTAGATTTCTTTTATGTGTGAATGATTTTCTTGTCTCTTATAATTCTTATATAGAATGGCTGTGTACATGTCTTATGATATTTTATGTTTGTAATATGTTGTGTGTACATAGATGAGACACAAATAAACAAATATATATATACTGTATATGGGTCGAATTCTTATGTTTGTAAGTCTGTGAAAGTCTCGATGGCTATGTTTAAACGCATGTCCTTTAAAAATTTACAAATTTACAAAGATTATTACGTCATTTTGTTTCTTTCTTCATGTAAATTGAATGTAAGTAAGTCCTTCTTACTAGAAACCATTTTCTTATACCTGGAACCGTTATTGTGTAGTTCCAGAATGCAGATAATTCATAATATTGTTTCAAATGCGTAAAAGTAACAAACCTTCGCAATAAAATGTAGATGTAAAAGGTGTATTTAAAAACTATAGAATTATATAGAATATCAAAAGGTTAATACATTCCAGTGCAAGAAGTCCTCAAGTACCTCCACCTGCATTGTTAAAGGCAAATCGGATACCTAAGTAGACCAACCGACCGTCCGTAAGGAAGCTATTCAGCTAACTGGTGTAATTGTTTAAACAGATTGATAGCTTACTTTCCAAAAAATTTCTTGAATTGAGCATTTTTTTCACAATATGATATAATACAGGCAAAATATTATTTAGAGAAAGTAAGTTATTTCCCGTGTTGTTAAATAAAAACAAGAAATGATAAAATGGTGTTACATTTTTATTTTTCTAAAATTAAATCATAGCGTAACAAACGACTGAAAGAAGTCAGTTGTGTTGGTACATAAAACAAATTTAAAGTGCATTAAGAAATAAACAACCTGCAGTTTAAACTATATGACATTTCTACACATTTTGCATCGTTTTCGGTTTCACTTCCGAAAGCTTTTTCATATCTTTCTCTGAATATGTCTTAGAGAATACCCTTAAATCATGAACTGGTTTTAACTGGATACAACTGCCAAACATCTAGGACGATTACAAACGAAATAAATTTAAATTCAGAAAGTTTGGTCCATTTAATAACCGTATTTATAATCTTTACCAGTTTGGCTAACATATCCATTGTTGATCCACCACTGTGTTGCTCTTCTGTTGACAATTGTGTCAATATTAGCTCGGTCTTCAATTCCCTCGTTGTAAGCGTTTTCAACTTTCTGTACACCGATTTCGCGGGCTTGACTATAGTAAAATGGCATGTAAAGCATCATTTCATGGAAGTTTCTGGGTATACCTGGTTGTGATTCGGCGAAGGCAAGTATTTCAGGAGTTACAGGGGCGTGTGGACCGACGATATATTTAACAGAGTCTTCAAGAAGTGCGTATTCCGCCCAGGTCAACTTGCCGATACCGTAGGGAACACGACCATCTCGAACCTCTTTATCAAGTGCCTTTTGAGCAAAGCCTGAAAAATTTCAACTTTTCATAAAAGAAGTTCATTTACTATTCAAATTGTATTATCTCTAGTTTTTTTATTTGTTTTTCTAAAAACAGCTAACAATTTCACTTATTTTGGAAGCAATCAATTTGTTGAAACATTTTATTTATTAATCATGTTTCCAATACAATATTTTCAACTATAAGCGAATGAGTTTTGATGATTCGCAATACGTTTTAATATTCAATAAATTCAACGATAACTTTTATGAATAATACTGATCTTCTAGCTTTCATTTACCTTGCATTAATATCCTAAAATAATTATTTATTTATATGTTGTTTATTTGTCATGTTTGTACAAAACTAAATATTGTCTGCATTTAGTCACTCACTCTGAATATATCGTGGTTTCACACTAACCCACTTTTAATTTGAAGAAAAAAAAATAACATCATGTTACCAAACAATAGTATAAATTATAAAAAGAACATCACTAAAAAACTACGGATTAAAGATAACTGAAAAATTGAGCAGACAACTACTAGTAAATAAGATAACAATAATGATGAATAGATATAAATAATAAAATTATAGGTATGAAAATAACAATGTAAATGTATCATTTTATTTATTGATTTTGTATATACTAGTATTATGAATTTGCTTAAAATCAAACAAATAAAATAAGTTGATTATCTAAACAAATTTGTTGTTAGTATTTAAAACAAACAAATAAACATAGGTTATTACGTTCCATTTTCGACTTTTAAGTATAAATACGAAATTACCAAACATCGATAAAATTTAGATAAAACATCAAATTCATTTAAAACCAAAGATATAAATCTAGTCACAAATATTTGTTTTAAAAAGTTAACGACTCGTTAGCGTAAAACATTTTTATTATTACAATACTTAATAAGAACAAAATGAAATACTTACATGATACAGCAATGGCGCTTGCTACAAAAATGCAGACGAACATTCTGGAACTTGTTGTCATTTTTAATCTTAGTGCAGACGTTCTCTTCAGACAAGGAAGACTGTGAAAACCATAGTTTTAAAACTACCTTATATAGATTATACAAGCATGCTTAATGCTTAAAAAGTCAGTTGATTTTAAAGAACTCATGTGAGGTAATTGCGTTTTTTTTCCATTTAAACGTTTTTCCGCACATGTGAAAAGTTTTAACATTAAGTGTTGCGTTCCTGCAATGAAATAATTTATGTTTCATGTCTCACAAACCTTTACTGTTCAGTTGTTGTTATTCAAGGAAATAAAAGTCAGATGGGAAACACTTTAGGCTGACATGGTCATATGACTAAATATTTTCATTTTTATGTTTATGATTAGTTTGTGTTCTCAGATACGTATAACAATAAACAAACTGATGCATATTTAATTATGAAACTGCATATTTGTCATTTTCTGTTATAACACAGTCGGTCTAGAATTAGTTTTACTAGCTTTCATTTATAGCTCAAGAGGATATACATTGTAATACTTGATACGGAAAAACGTTCCTAATTTATCAAACATAAACACGCATCCACTTTGAGCACATTTTAACCATTTATACAAAGCATTGGTTATTGATACTTATATGAAGGAATATGAGATTTGAAGTATGCGATAATTTATAACATAACAATTGAAAGTAAAATTTATTTATTACACTTCAATTTTTACAATTTAAAATGAGAAACGTTCAAAAATAGATAATGAGTAAATCCACTCAAGTAATACAGCAGATAAAAGTTTAAAGTCGAGGGTAACATCATTGTCTTTGGAGATAAATTCATCATAACCATAAACAAAAATACTTCAATATTACATTTAATGGTCAGCTCTTTTTGGCAAATCCTGATATATTTATATTTGAAATAGTTTTTTTACTGTTAACAATTGATTGCCTGGTATTTTTTATCTGATCTAAAATGTTTAATTACCTCTTTCTATTTCATGATGTTATATAGTAGAAATGCGTTTTATGGTCATAAACGATAAATGCAATTGCATGTAATTACGCGTTAACTTGTAAAAATGTGTCTTTAATCATAGATATGTTCTTATTATGTATACAGTACGATAATTAATACACCTGTATAAACTTTAAAAAAACATGAAATAAAGCTGAATAAATCAAACAAAAATGAACATATTTTCCTTGTACACTTGTACAAGAAAAGTCATTTGTTGTAACAGATGTGGTTTACAACGTTTTAGTTTTTTATGCTCCCATTTTAGAAATAACAGCTGACATGTCTGTTGCAACAATGTAAATTATATAACGGTGTCACCACTTAGCCTTCCAAGAAAAGAAAATACGTCTAAGACAATATTTTTTCTAGAATGAAAATTAACACGTTTAAGCTGATCAGTTGCACTATAACATCTATAAGGTAGAAAAAAAGTTTTATGGGCTTATTTCAATGTTAAGGCAACTATATTTACAATTGGACATAGATAAATGACAAACAATATTGTGGTACTATAAAAGTACTATAAATGAAAACACCAAGTCCATTTAAAACATACCTTTAAACTGTATAATAAACATGACCAATAGCATCGTATAATTTATTCAAACCAGAATATATGTTTGGTTATTGTACAAAATATGAAAAAGGTCGAAGTACACAAACAATATATTTTAAGTCACATGCTCAGGTTTTGATTTAAATGTTATTCTTACTGACTTTTATATCATCAAGAGACCTCAAGATTTAAATATCACAAGACACGTTACATTCATTTAAATACGTTTCCGAGTCAACTGATTACAACAGCGACAAAACAGAGGACTAAAATATATGTCATATCTATTTTTAATGAGGGAAAAACATAGATCAAAAAATACTTTTTTTGTCACATGTGTTCTTAAAATCAGCTGTTGTTTTTTTATGTTTAGCATCTATAAAAGGTAATTGCAGGACCGTTATTTGCACAGTTTTCTTCGAGAGATAAGTCACTGCACTGAAAATCGAAAATGGTATCAAGTTCGAGAAATTTCGTTTACGTTTTTGTAGCATGTGCTGTTGCAGTAGCATGTAAGTTAATTCAATATGTCTAATCTAATATACGAATTAAAACTTATATTTTTTAAAAAAAATAACATAATATATTAATTATAATTTTATTTTGTTATTTGACATGTTCTTGCAAAACACATAAATATCTTTTCTTAAGATGTATGTGACTGTTTCATTAATGCTGTTAAGTTTAGGTACTTTACAATTTATATGTTTTATATGCTTTAAAGTCAGTCTAAATGACATAATTTCCTATTATGTACACTAAGTAATTTAGATACCAGGACAAAAAATACAGCTTAAAGTATTCAACCTTTGGGAAAAGTTCCAAATGTCATCATTGATACATTGGGGCAATAGTTTTGACTGTTCAACAAGCACCCATGAAGTAACTGTATAGTACTTCAATGTCAAAAAATGAATGCTTAAATTTTGTAATAAACAGTTATTAAAACATAACGATGCTTTTCCATTTCAGGCTTCGCTCAGCCCGCCAAACCCAAAGAAGTCGAGGAAGGACATGTTCCATATGGAATAGGCAAATTGACCTGGGCAGAATATGCTCTACTCGAAGACTCTGTCAAATATATCGTCGGCCCACACGCCCCGGTATCTTCTGAAATATTAGCCTTCGCCGAATCACAACCAGGTGTCCCTCGAAACCTGTACGAGATGATGGCTTACATGCCTTTTTACTTCAGCCAAGCTGATCAAATCGGAATTACTCGAGTTTCAGGTGGTTACAACAAAGGAATAGATAACCCAGCAAATAGAGACAAGATAATTTATCAGAGAGCCGCACAGTGGTTGGCGAACAATGGTTACGATGTTAGAGGACTCGAAAATCGTGTTTAAACGGACAAATTAGACTTTTTTCTGATTTATTTTTATGTTAAAATTTGCGTAATCAAAATACATCAGTATGATTTTCATCAATTCACAATATGTAACAGATATCTGAATGTTTACATGTTACAAATGCGGTTTGTATTTTATGTTTAATTTAAAAGGATTCATAATTGGTTTGGTTTTCTTGTTATAAAGTATTTTAGTTTGTTTTGATAATAAAGAAATATATTACTTTTAAATACATTGTTCTTATTGGAAATTAAATAAATTTTGTTCATTGAAGGCAATGATGCAGTAGTCAAGTAAAATGGAATAACGATTACTTAAGAGTCGGTCAAGAATTTTGTTTCGTCAAAGATTATTTGATTCAGAGTAAGCGTCAAAATTATAGATTTATGTGAACAATTTTGACATATATTGTCAAATATATATTGTCAATATGACATGATGATTGCCACATCAATATTTCAACAGAGGAAGTTGCAACGAAGATAATCACGTGATAATAAAAATCCTTTTATCTGATCAAAGCGTAAACACCCAATATAAATATATAATTGTTTAATCTTACGATTGAAATAAATACTACAATAAATGTTGAACTGAGAAAAATAACTCTCTCTCTCTCCCCCTCTCTCCCTCTCCCCCTCTCTCTATCTCTCAAAGAATATATTGTTTGAAAGTGAAATGATGAAAATGTGGAAAATATTTTTCCCGCACCAGATTCATCCATATTCTTTTAAATTACATGACATCAATCAACAATTCAACAATTACATGATATAAATCACATTTATCTAGTTTAAAGCAAAAACCTAATATTTTATAAGATACATTCCTCATTCAGTTTTAATAAAATCTAGATTTTGATTAAAACTTTGATACAAGAAAAGTGTTCCGTATTTGGTAACGACAATCTATTGACAGGTTCAAAGGATTCAAAGTAATATTTAACAATGCACAAATTAACTTTCCATTCGAATCCCAATATCTTCCAGTAGCACCGGCTTCAGCATAACGCATTGATTACGAAAGACACGTTTTTATAGTGAGACGTATGGTACTGGTGCCCGACTTCTATAGACTTAAAATCTTCTAATCTTGACTAGTCTGATACAAATATACTTGTCAATAGTGGACGATCCATTATTTCTTAAATCGATGTGTATTGAGTTATTTTTAATAAGTTTAATTACACTACCATTCGGCAGATTGATACAGACCTCTTTCAAAATATTTAAGTCACGTGATGGTATGAACACCGCAGTGAATGGTCAAAATGAATTGGAATGATACATTGTATCCGGAATGTTTGTCTCATATGAAGAAAAATTGCAGAGCAAATTAAATACCTGTACATTACTACACAAACCTTGACTTTAAGTTAACAAATGTGCCACAGAGGAGGGACAATATGCATAAGAAGTTCGGTTTGAACAACAAAAACAGCATCAACAGTAGCAGCAGCTGTAACAAAAAATATCCCCGTTCAAAAAGAAGAAATAAAAAACAAAGAAAATCTTATTAAAACCCTACGATTGAGATAACATGGACATTGTTTGGTTAACTTGTTTAGGGCATCTACATTCATCTACTTTGGACCATATGCCACCTTTCATGATCATGGAATAGCACGACTAAAGTTGAAGCTGACAATTGTCGTGACATTGAAAAAAAAAATAAACATATTTTAATGTCGATCGCTTCAATCGATAAAGGATAGGTACGAAATATTTTCTGAAATACGTACCATCCAAAATTACGCGGACGAGAAATTGCAATTACCACTACTGTCAATGTACAGGTTCATGCAGCATTTTAAATTTTACCAATTAGGGTGCTCGTAAAGGTTTCCATTTTTTTCATTTCTATAACATTGAAAAAAATAAAAAAAAAATTAATGGGTATAAGTGGTAATGCACGAAAAAGAAATATATCCGAAACATATTTCATCCAAAATATTAGGTGCCTTTATGCGCGAATAATGTGTCAGGACGGACTTAATGATAATAAAGGCCTCGATTATAATAAAAATATTTTTTTTAAATTGTTTACACAAAAATAATTCTTTACAAAGCAAACAATTATAAGTGTAAATAAAATTCATAAGACCCTCTGATTGATAATATACTAGTACTAAGAGACTAAGACAATTTTAACAGATTTATCCATACCGATTTAATAACGACATCAGTATTTGGGTTCTTAAAAGCTGAATTGTTCAAATGACTATAGTAAGACCTTAATTTTATCGCAGGAAATGTCTTTTTTTCTAATTAAACAAAATTTAAATATGTAACCATTCTGGAGAAGAGAATCATTCTTGAAAAATCCACGTGATCCACGTGATCCACGTGATTCATGAGGAGAAGACAGGATACATCATTCGATGTTTCATAATCATGTAATTTTGTTGTTTTAATGCTTCCGATGGAGCTCCTTCTTTCCAGATTGTTATACTTTACAACAGCAGGTGTCAAGTGCCGTGCGACAGCTGAAAACGGTTCAGTGTTGTTATATTTTTTCTGGTCTTTTGAGAGATCATTTATTGCAACACATAACGTTTTGAAAATTGAGTGCCGCTCAAACGTTGCTAGGGGCCGTGAGGGATGTTGCACTGTATGTACCGGCTTGATCACACCAAGTCTGTTATTTTCATGTTGTTTATTTTTTTCAATTCTTGTTCCATATTTGTATACTATTTATACATTGTAATACTCTGATTGAATTATTTGTGCGTACAATTCGTGCAATTATGCGACGTCAACGTAATCAGCTAGTCAAATTCAAGATTTTTTTATCTGTATCATTGATCTTCTTTGCAAGATAAAGATTTTCTTGAATCTATTTATATTCCTTTATATCAAACCTTACAATAAGTTTGTCCCAGATTCGATAAAATTCTTGTTTAAATCGATACGTTATTATCGTGTGTTCATGTTCGAAACCTATTTTATATAATATTTGGTTGTTATCTAACATGACCGTGATCGTGTATGTGTTAGCCATATGTGTCGAAATTACAGGGATATATATATCGAATAAAAATCCGATTGTCCAACAAAGTATGTTATTCGTGTTTGATGCATATTTATAATTTTAAGTTCATTGAGGCATCCATGTAAATACAACGATGCAATTTTACGAGTAATGATCAGCGTAAGCAATTGGAACATTTCTGCTATTATCAATAATGACGGAAATGGCCGAGAAGATGCGATCATTGTTATTAAGTTAAAAATGAAAAAATATATATATAACAAAAAATAAAAGAAAAAATGTGATATCGTTTATAGGTGCATATCATGTTTCACGGTCAACATTGAACGTATCATATTCAAAATTTTATAGTCTTAGGATGCCGCTGACTTTATTAAGCATTTACCATTTGTCATAATGATTATTGGGTTCTAATTTGAACAAAACGAAACAATCTAATTATGGGACCCAACAGGCGCCCAACATACTAACAACCTATTCATACAATGTCATTTCACCTCCCATTTCTTGCCAAGCAAAATAAAAAGCAAACAGAAATATGATAAAATGTTGTTTTATTTTACTACAATTATATAAATCATGATGTTATACAAGGTTAAAATAATTAGGCGTGGATAAATAAATTTGGTGAATTATGTATAACTATATATAACTTGATGCAAGATGCCATCTTCTCGTGTATGCGATATCTATATCCAGCTTTTCACTTTTTGCAATGATTTTAATTGTTTTTACCAACAAATGTTTTGGGAATAAAGTCATTGAAAACCTTTTAATTAAACGCCGTAGTTATAATCTTTACCAGTTTGGCTAACATATCCATTGTTGACCCACCACTGTGTTGCTCTTCGGTTGACAATCGTATCAATATTAGCTGGGTTTTCAATGCCCTCATTGTAGGCATTTGGAACTGGCTTCAAACCAATCTGTCTGGCCTGGCTAAAGTAAAATGGCATGTAAAGCATCATTTCATGGAAGTTTCTGGGTATACCTGGTTGAGATTCAGCGAAGGCAAGTATTTCAGGAGTTACCGGGGCGTGTGGACCGACGATATATTTAACAGAGTCTTCAAGAAGTGCATATTCCGCCCAAGTCAACTTGCCTATTCCGTAGGGAACACGATCGCCATTGTTATTATTAGTTTTCGACTTCTGCCCGAAGCCTGAAATGAGACAAGATTGTATTTATTGAATTAAGAATCTGAATACATTAGTTTGTATGTGCTTTTATGATAGAAACATTGATTTAAAACTGTTAAACTTGCTTTTTATATCATTGTGGCTCTTATAGATACGCCGTTTTTTAAATGTTTTTATTATAAATATCTTTCATATTTGCTAAGAATTCATTTTGTGTGGTCGTCTAAATTTACGTCCGCACAATATATATTCCTACCCAATATGAAAAACTATCTAAATGACTGATTGTTTTCAGTTAATATTTTCCCGAGGGAGTACCCATCTAAGGGAATTAAGTTAAATATCTAGACTTAAACATTTTATATAGTTAAGAACATATACTAATGTTAATATTTTACAAAGTTCAGTACAACAAAATTGCACACTACCAGCTGATGGTCAATCGACAGAAAACGAAATATATTGAATAAGTAAATAAAGGAACAATATATTTGAGTTTGAGAAAATTGTGAATCGGAGTATCATTCCCGGTGTATCTGCCAATGGGCGGTTCCTCGGAAAGCGTTACTCTCGGGATGGATATTTCAATTAAAACCTCAGCATATACCAGATATTATAAGTAAATATTGTTTGTCCATAAAAGATTATTCATTAATGTAAGCCATTTAAAAAATAGTAAACTATTATAGAATATCTAGAAAAATATCAAACCTGAGTTTTTCGGTGCAGTTTGGAATATTCGTGTCTTGAATACGAGCCCAAAAGGCGGCAATTCGGTAAGCCTCGTTACCACCAAATGGGCGGGTACCCTCGAGACAGATATTCTGATCCGACTTGTAATACATGACACATATGATAAGTAATATCTAGACAAATAAAGAAAATAAGAGACATATGCTGCACTGCATATTGCATATTGCATTGGTCACTGCAATCATTTTTTAAATACCATGCTAAAATACTTCATATACATGTATTTAAGACACTTCCAAAATTTTCATTTAATGATCAAACGTCTTTAAATATCTATGTTTTTAAGAAGATACAACTTAACAGAATATAAAAAATAAATATCTTACATGACACGGCTACAGCACCGACAACTAATAAGCAGACGAAAACTCGAGATTTGAATTCCATCTTTGTTTTTCTGTGCTGATGCTCGCTTCAAACAACAAGAAAACTGTGTCGACCATAGTTTTGCAAATGCTTTATATAGATAATGAATGTGTTACAATTAGGATAAAATCAGCTGATTTTATGAATTAAGATAACATGATAAAACGTTTCTTTTTCTGCAAAATTTATATTGTGACAATTTCTTTCTTATTGCCATCATATGATTAACATTTTATGAACTTTGTTTAATAAATTTGCAAAATGATCATTTGACTAAATTCTCTGATATTGTATGATATTTAAATGCATATTTTTATTATAACATCAGAATATTACACGCTGACAGATGACCATAATCATGCCATCTTAATATGCCATATTTATTATGCAAATTGGCAATAATTATTTTTTTCTTTTATTATCCGAGTTCGTGATAATAAATAATGACCGAGAAATACTACTTTATCAGTGAACACATTTAATTAATCAAGAAATTATGTTTTGTTCCTTATATAAGCTCAGCTGACTGCCGTTCGTCACATGAGTTGAAATATGTATATGATAAAATTAAATATATTTCAGACGTAAAATAAAGATATAATTAATTCAATATTAGATGGTATTATATACACGGAGATGTATTATGTCCATTTGCTCTCAGGATCGGAATTTGAAAATTAATGTAATTAATGCAAAGGTACAATACAGAGATTCATATTTTGGATATACTTATCCTGACATATGATTTCGTATTATAACAAATACAACAACAGCAAAAAACAAACAAACGAGGAATCAGTAAACCTCTTTTGTAAAAGAGTAAAATGTAAAGAAAGGCCCCCCCCCCCCCCTTTAAAAAATGTAAAATTCAGGCTCGGTTTAATGTCTGTTTATGGAAAATAATATAAATTACAACAAATTTCTCACATTCCCTACATTTTGTTATTTATGTTTTTGTCAGTAATGAAGTATACAACTTTCATTTTAAGACTTCGGAATTGTAAATTTTGATCTTGACATATTTTTTTTTAAATTGACTGAATAATGTAAATATATAATGATGGCAAACTTTTTTTAACGGAAGTGATCGCATCTTGATATACTGTTATGCTGAGAGAATGTATCAAGTCATAGAACGACAGACAAACAGGCAAATAAATCTTGATTCTTGATTGAAGGACTTTTTAACTCCTACGTAGGACTTTTAAACTCCTACGTAGGACTTTGTAACTCCTACGTAGGAGATAAAAAAAGTCTTATTAGGAGTTTATAACTCCTACGTAGGACTTTATAACTCCTACGTAGAGGAACACTTATAAAGTCCTACGTAGGAGTTATAAACTCCTACGTAGGACTTTTAAACTCCTACGGAGGACTTTAAAACTCCTAATTAGGCTTTTTTTTATCTCCTACGTAGGAGTTATAAAGTCCTACGTAGGAGTTTGTAAGTCCTACGTAGGACTTTAAAACTCCCAATTAGGTTTTTATATCTCCTACGTAGGAGTTATAAACTCCTACGTAGGAGTTACAAAGTCCAACGTAGGAGTTTTTTTTATAGAACATGTTAAATTGGCACCAGGACGCTTCCGTAGTTCATTAATTCATTAAAAGCAAATCAATAACAAATAATATTTCATTATAAGTATATAATAAACATGAATATTTATTATATGTAAATGTTTTATTTCGGTTGGTATAGACTGCTTATATAATGCTATAAATCTAATATCCTTGTCATAAATTTGTTAATTTGATTTTATAGCGCGTTAAATAAAAAAACGCATTTAAATATTATACTCTTTGGACTTTGCTATCATAAATCAGTTTGAGTGAAAATTAATTTTTCATTAACCATGAGGCAGAAGGCCTTAAACAAATTGCAATTATAATTATGGAACCTTGATAAAATTATCTTAAAGGAAATGTTTTAAAAGCGAAATTTTGACATAAATTTAACATTGGCATACGTGACTGGTAGTATATACAGTGTACATAGTGTTTTATAATTAAATTGAACAGAAAACATTCATTTTGTCAAGCAGGACACTATATAATAAGGTTCCTATAACATTTACATAAGTGTATGTACTAAATTGCAATTTAACCAATCATTAAAATGATAAATGAATCTTTAAATAGCGACCACAGTTATTTTTACAATACTATTTTAACTTGAGCATCATTCGGTCATTTTTTGTACTTTACACACGACTGAATCGAGCAGAACGCCATTAAACATGGCGTTCATAATATTAGTTATACCGGAAAATGAACAACGAAAATAACCAGTTGAAAATGGCAGATTGGTTTGACTGCTTTATCTGGTCATACTGTAACATATGTCAGTTATTATTCAATTTTCAACAATAAACGAATTTGTAATCAATGTTCCAGAAGAATCTTAGTAAAACACAATTATCAATATGGTCATACATCATCAACCATTCAAACATGAAAAGTCGAATAGTTCAAAATATCTCCGACTTTGGCAATCTTTTGTTTATCTTAACAAAGGGAAACAAATTCTGCTTGGTTTTAATCACGAATCATGTCTCGATAGTACATCTTGTCTGTCACTCACCAATTTGTAATGAAAAGCACACAATTTCTGTCGGTGAAAAGCTAGCTCACCACCAAGAGTGGTCTGTGTCCTTATATATGGGAAACATTCCCTTAAGAAAATTCACCAACGTTAGTTTTTGCATATCAATATGCATATTATCATTATTTTGACGTTCTACCTACGTCGTTACATTACTTTCCTCTCCCCCAACACTGGCCTACAAATTAAGTTACGTTTTAAGGCACACAAAGTTTTAATTCTGATATATTTCAAACATCTATTCAAGAAATAGAAATGCGCACAAATACATAGCTATATAATTGAAATAATGTACTTTTTTCAAATTACTTATGATAGTATGTTCATAAATACATGCATGAATTCATGTTTGAATATCATTATATTTGGTTTATACAAAATCTATTTTAGTTCGATTGTGTAGGATTTGAAAGCCTAAAAACTCATTCTCGAATCCGTTCCTGGAACAAACCAGCAAAGAGTATGAAATGTTTTTGCGATCCTTAGATAACCAGTTCGACGCATCAACCAAACTGAACATTGTTAGATGACAACAGACATTACATTTCGTTTGCATATATGCATAGTATTTTTAAAGAATAAATGCTATACGTACATCTTCATCTGCATAGTTAGTGTTAATAAAATGCAATTTATATGTATCTTTGTTTTTCATTCTGTATGTTACTCTTTTGTGCACTTTCCACATTTCAGTCATTTATCTTTAAATGACAATTTCATTACCTTGCTAGGCCCAGGGGCGGATTCTGAAGTGTGTCCTTTAATATGTTAAAATTTATAAAATGGTATTAACTACTTCACATTAGGTGTCCCTCTCCTTTCGCCGCTCTTATGTCCACTCCCGGTTTTGGTTTGGTGCCCTGCTTGGGGGTGTCGGGGGGCTGCGTCCTGTTAACGTTGGCTTTGCCATGTTGATCTTTATTCTAGTTTTTTATTCCTACTCGCTGCCTCATATAAGTATATCAATAAGTTGAATCAGCTGTTCTGTTATTATGAAACAAAACAATGCGTATGATTTTTGTTATCACTAACCGAATAACATGCATTCCAAAGCAGTAATTCAGTTAGTTAGTAATGAGGTCAATGCCATACTTGTTTACAATACAGCAGGTTTGCAGAATTCTTTTTATTCCTCATCCGAAATTAGATTGTTCGAGAACAAGCCAAGGAGACTGCGTTCTTCTAGAACAGTAATTATACGTGTTTGGAATAAACGTAAGAAATACCCGTTTGTATAATGAATTGGACTTACTACAGTGTTGGAATAGTACCTCTAGACGTTTGCAGAAATCAGGATCACAAAGTAGAAAAAATATCGCTTTTTTCGCCGATTCTTATATTTTTCACTAATTATAGAATATAAATGCATTTCGGCGGGGGAGAACACTTAATAATTCAAGCGCCTTGTTCGGTATATACCTAAATATGGTATTTAGTGTGGTGCTCCAACATCTTTTTTAGTCTCACTCGTTTATAAATGTTTTAATCACCAAACAAATGATTGATTTCTTCGATGTATTTAACATGTGTGAATTCATCGCCAAATAGTATATTGAAATGATTTTGATATACGACGAGAAATGCACCTTTCATCAAGTTATTTTAAATTCCAATCTGAAATATATCTTGAAAGACATATGCTTCTGTGTAGCAAAAAAAAAAGAGTTGAGAATGATGCAGATGCGGTTTTATTGAGCCTAACCATGAACGGAATTGAAAGTCTAGGCCCCCTTGCTAAAAAAAGCTTGACTACTGTAAATACATATGATTTTTATAACAAATATTAAAATAATTCAGATGTTTTGAATAATAGAAATATCATTGTAGTAATAATATTACGAAATACCGGTGGTAACGTTTCAACTTTCTTGAATTCTCGGATTTGACAATTTCAACAACATAAATTTACGATTACAACAACATACAGAATTCACAAATTCACGATTTTAACTTCACAAATTTACAATTTCAACTTAAAAAATTCAACTTCATAAATTGCCGTTTTGAACTTCGAGAAATTGAAATTGTGAAATTCAAAACATCAAAATCGTGAAGTTGAAACCGTGAATTCTTGAAGTTGAAATCGTAAAGTTGAAAAATTGAAATCGTGAATTCGTAAAGTTGAAACCAGGAATTTATGAAGTTGAAATCGTGTATTCGTGAATGCCGTTCTGTTATGGGTAGCTTTTGCAAGACTACTGTGCTGTTATAGAAATATCTATTGTGTTTATATAGTTCTTTCTCATTCTTACGTGTTACCTTGTAGAATACAATATTCTGATAAATATATTAACGAAATTAATTCTGACAACCAGTTGGCTGACATGTGTTTATTTACTAACAGCCAAGAACTGTTTACCTCATAACATCAGGGTATTCGTCATTGAAAATAAGAAAATTTGGAAGCTATGTTTTCAAATCTGGTATGTCTTCCTTGTGTTTTCAACAAGTCTTAACGTAGCACACATTCTGTTTAACTTCTGAGATTTTACAATGAGTTCAAAGTATGTTGTATATTTTATAACTATTGCTTTCACTGTGTTCACGTGTACGCACCAAGTGCGTTTAATTCACAACAGAATTGCAAACGGTGGGTGAAACATGTATATAATGCAAAATGTTTTGTTTAATTTACATAATTCGTACAAAAGCAAAGCTTGACTCATGTTCTGGTCGTGGTCACTTCAATCCAAATTGATATTGCCTAGTGGTTTATGTTCAATGGGAAATAAATCACTGACGTAAGGTCATAAAGTTCACGGACAGGAACCATGGATTAGTTTTTTAAAGGGATCATTATATTAGTATTGTTGCTTAATTTTATCAAAATTCTGTGTAAATTTCTTAATTACATAAATATGAGTTGACTTTTGTGCAATTTAGAAGCACAGAAGATGGGTTTCTGCGTAAAAGATTTATGCTAACAAAACATAAAGCAATCAAAACAAAATCAGCCTCAGATGCTTCTTTGCCTACCACAGATTTATTTTCATTGTCAAAACAGGCCTGGTTTTTATTAAAAGTTTCATCAATATTCGTGAATTGTTCCTAATCTCACAATTAATGGGGATCAAAGAAAAACAAGGATATGTGTTTACTATATCTAAATTTACTTTGAGCTTTTTACATTTATTTATCCACATTGTATTGCAACAACATATAAACACTACAGATGTCTGCAAAATTTTGTCAAATTATCAATCATGGAATAAAAGCAGGATAAAGCGGGGAACATATGTAAAACACAGACGGTCGGTCAGACAATTTGGCAAGAATAGATAATGCATTGTAATAAAAATACAATCTAAAATCGCCACAAAACAAATATTTTTCTTTTCTTTTCTTCTATAAGGTTGAGTTTTAATAATGTCTTTATAAGATTGAATCCCTATAGAAATAGAATTATGTTAAGCTTGCAGGCTTTTGATGTTACGAGATATGCTTAAAAATTCATTTTATCGAAACTGAGAACCATGCGATTCATGCTGCATGGAAATTCAACTCTTTACATAGAAGCAGTGCGTTAAAGATATAACTGCTATTTATAAATGAGGTTTAACTTCGTTGTAAATCTACAATGATTGTGAAATAATGACATTCGATTAATACAAAAATTTTGATACTTAAGAGAATTAAAAATCAACCTATATGTACACTGGCATGTGTTTCACAGAATCTCATCTGTAACCCTTGACTTGCTTAAAAATGTATAATAGACTTGTCCAACTTTCATTTTTCAGAACTGTCCATTATCAAAATAAGGGATATAATGATGAACATGTAATGTAAATAACAGTAAAGTAACAGTGTAGAGCCTAGTTGTGCAGGACTGACATGGCTCTATAATGGAGGCAAAGAATAATAATGTTTGGCGCTATCAGGGCATATGTTTAACAATGGAAAAGAATGAGGACTTTTGGTTTCCTGCAGGGTAACGATTTATCATGTACATGTATATTGATTGGAACACTTCGGTACTTCAAACAAAAATAAAAACTGTTTTGACTTTGTGGATAATGATCTGTGCATGATTTCTATACAAATGTGTAACCAGCAAGCACTTTTACTGAAAAAAATCCCCAAAAGTTACTAGTTTCAACTTTCTATTTTCATTCTGCTGCTGCAATATTTTCTGTTTAAACATTAACTTTTTAAATATAGGAATCTGACGTGGTCTTTTACAATGAGTGTGGCATTGTTAGATTTTTGTCCCTTATCCTGCTGGCGGCAATGCTACCAGTACAGCCCATAACCAGCCGGTGCGCCCGTGTCGTCCGTTAAACTCTGCACTGAACGCAACACTTTCAATACTTATCTTATAATTATCCTTGACAGTTAAATGAATGATTTCGCCCAGACTAAAAGATGGACAAGTCCATTTTATATACTAAACGTGGTAAGGGTTAAAGAATTTGAAAACTTCCTAAAACAAGCAGTCTTACAGAAAGTAGTCTTATCAATTCAAACTAGCATTTCTATATCAAAAAATAACATGTCATAATCTAAATAAACTAGCATTTTATTCACTTAAACTAACAATTATTTAGTCGCATAAATAATTTAGTAATTCTTCACTCAATTAAATCAGCTTCTTGCAAAGTAATCATATAACTACTTATTAAAATCAAAAAATGAGATCCTATCCGAATTGGTCAAAACTGCCTGCATAAATATATTCATATCAATACGCACAGTACATTTCGATCCTAGTCACGTGATCATAGATAGATCTATAAGCACACTTCAGTTTATAACAACTGAAAATTAAGTTATGAAAATGTATGATAGTGAATTGTGTAACACTTATCATTAAAATACCACCAATCTAAAACAACTGGTACAATAAATCAAACACAAGTATAAGATAGAAAACACGTCATCAAATTCAGTGATAATATTTACTTTAAAGGCCCATAATTTCAATTTTTCTTACATCTTGGACCTTACAAAAAAGAAAATATGAATCCCTAAAGTAAGTCCAAAAACGGCAAAACTGAAAATGTTGAAGGCTTTGTTTGACTAATCCTGATCATGGACGGTATTGTCACAGCATATTTTAAGAAATATTAAACATATTTGAGCCGTGTCATGACAAAACCAACATAATGGGTTTGCGACCAGCATGGATCCAGACCAGCCTGCGCATCCGCGCAGTCTGATCAGGATCCATGCTGTTCGCTATCAGTTTCTCTATTTGTTATATGGTCTGTAAGCGAACAGCATGGATCCTGATCAGACTGCGCGGATGCGCAGGCTGGTCTGGATCCATGCTGGTCGCAAAACCATTATGTTGGTTTTGTCGTGACGCGGCTCATTTATCTCATTTGCTTAACGGTATAGCAATCCAGACGTTATGTTCAAGAAAGCAAAATTTGATAACGAGTTTTTTAACTTAAACAAAATAAGTGAAAATTTCTAATACTGTTGATTTGGAAATGTAGAATAAATAAAACACTAACTAACATTTATCTTAAAATAAAAATGATAAAAAAAAGTAGTCACCGGCATTAATAAGACGAACCCTGTGGCTAAATTTACACAAATGTCTTTCCGGAGGCTTCGAATGGGCAATTTACCCATTCGAAATGCTGGGCTGATAGTACATGACATCTCGAGAACATTATTTAGTTAATGACAAATAAAATTGTATTTTAAAAAAAATATCACCATTATGAGATGATGACAAAACTTTAATATCAATGATTTTCTATTTATATAGAAAACCTTTCGCATCAAAAAGTTTTAAACATGTAGTGAACATTATTTATGAAATAATACAAATGATTGTAAATGAAAGAAAATTAGATGAAAACATATACTTTATACTTAACATAATAAATCTCAACATATTGAACGACCCTGATGATTGAAAAATGAGACCGTATGTCCTCCATATAATACGGGCACCTTCAAATAAAGGACTTGTTTTTATATAAAATAAACTTAAGAGGGTCGATGTTGACAGTTGATTTTAAACATGTCTATGGTGGTAACAATTGATTTAAACATGATGAAATAAAACTTGGATGACCTTCAATATGTTCTAAATAAGGAAAAAGATAATTATTGGTAAGGGCGACTCAAAATGATAAAAAATACAGAAAACTATGTCTTTCACACATGCATTACCTCCCTTGGTCGCCATCTTAATACATAAAGAGTCAAATTTGATAATTCTAGCATTTTCTTGCTGATACAAACTCCTGAGATACTGTTGCTACAGTAACAGTTTTCTTCACATATGTGAAAGTACTAAGTAATTCATCTTATTATATAGTTACTTTCATGGATTATTTTCTTATTTTATCAATTTTATGGACAAAACGGCTGCCTTTTTCGTCAAGGGAGCTAAATATTGTGAAAATCAAGAACTTTCTACTAATGGCATCTATTACAAGTATTTCGCCGAGAGAAGAGAAAATGAGTAGCACACATATGACGTAGTTCCTATGAATTAAACATAAAACTTCTTAAAAAATAGATTTTTGCGTATTGATTTTTAAAAGACACGATATTCAAACGTTTATGAAAGTCTCATGTTTATGATATGGCGTTCCGGTGAGGAATCCATGAACTTTCTATGAAATATAACTAAGACACTTTACAAAACAAATGACATGAAGTTTATGAAAACGCATTGTTCACGTTGCTGTGTCAATTGATATATCTTTTGATTATTTCATCTTTATTTTAGAAGTATGCATGCGTATCAGATATGTTTCTTTCTATGTATATGCAGTGCGCATGCGCATGAGTCTGTCTCTGTTATTGCATGACTACGGAATCTAATCTAGGTGAATTAGGTCGACCGAATACGGTCATCTTGACATAGTCCATAAATCCATTAGCTCTTGGTTTCTGCATTGCGTCATACAAATCCCATAACTTCCGGTCACTTGGTCTCCAGTTTTCTGGTTCCCTTAACTTGACAACGCGCTGAAAAATTGATAAATTATTTTTGTGTTTTATTCACTTTAAAAATAAGCATCATAATTTTGCGTTCATCTTTGCGAATTGAAGAAACTTTTTGCTTTTAATACTAAATCCAAAGACTATACAAAGAATGATTCATGGCATATTTGTGAGTTAAATACAAAAGTTTTTATTATTTTGACAGGTAAGCAATGATATAAAGTATTTTCACTCAACACAAGTAGTACATTTAAATTGTCTTTAAAGTCAGTTTGCACTATTTTATAAAATGATCATAATTCTCAAGGTTTCATGTAAAATATCAAACAATTAGAATAAAACAGTTAATCAAATAATGTATCATTACAATAATATAAATAATTCCACAAGAGTATGCCAAATAAAACTTAATATTGTTAGAAATTAGCATACCTCAGATAAAGTTCCACTTTTTGTCAGAAGACCATAGACAAAGCAAATTGGTATTGGCAGCACCGGTATTAATGCAAGAACAAATCCTAAATTGATTGCATAATCCGGGTAAGGGTGTCCTTCGTAAGTTGCCGGCTCGTACCTTGACAGCAGAAGTATAAAGACCACGAACACAGCGGCCGGTGATATAAAGCACCAACAAATCCGAAGAAGAACCGGTGCCCTATAGCCCAACATCAGCTTCATGTCATTGCTAAACCTTTCCGCTCCTGAAAAATAATAAAAAATCAAATGGTTAATAAGGTAGTTATGACAGTGAAGTGTGTGTTCTAAGTTTAATAACGGTCCACCTGCCCTTTCAAGCACTGAGAGTACGGACATCTTATAACAGTGAACTTGAACATTATATGCCTAACAAACAAAAGCAGATAACAAATATTGGGTCGTCTTGGTGGGATTGCACCTGTTCATTAACGGTGCTACAGTGATCGCCCGCTCAACTCAGGCACTAACATAAATGATATTTTATTGTGAAAATATTAGTCTTACAATATCTATGAGTTTTAAAACACTATAGATTTGTTCAAAACTTCAAATGGTGATTACATGAATTATGCGAATTTGTTTTGTTAGTCACACTTACGCGCTATGACTAAGCATATATCCGTGGCATTTTCCTGGAACGATTATTCGTATTTACTCGTAAATTGTCTGTCTAAAGCATTACAGAGAGAGGCAATATTGATCTGTACAGTTCTATTTTTAGAATAAAGTTAAAGTGTGATCATGATCAATCCTTGCAAATTAAAGGTTTTATATTTTTTTTCAAACACCGGCAAGCAACATTTATCCAGTCGTCTTGGTGAGTATGCTATTTTTATATACTTGGCGTTCTTCTGAGTGGCAAGAGCTTATTAATGAGTCTAATGTATTAAACATTCAGCTCATATATAAATATATTTGAGCCGTGCCGTGACAAAACCAACATAATGTTCGCTTACAAACCCTCTTACAAGAACAGAAACTGATAACGAACAGCATGAATCCTGATCAGACTGCGCGGAAGCGCAGGCTGGTCTGGATCCATGCTGGTCGCAAACCCACTTTGTTGGTTTTGTTATTACGCGGCTCATTTATAGTATTCAGAAAATAAGAAGAGACACAAACGTCGATGTGCCAAATATTATGAAAATATTCTAGTGTATACAGCTATATATTTGTTGAATGTGGAATGTAAAATCAATGTTTAAAATGATTACAGAATAACTAGAATGAAAGAAATTTGCCTGAATATTTCATTGAAAGCGAGTGGAGCATACAGGAAATCATTGCCAAAACCTTCTAAAATAGCGGTCGGATATTGTGTTCCGGAACATTATATTCAGTTTTACGTACAATATTCAGGTATATTATATTACGTGGGCATTCTATGTTACAAATCCTTCAAGAAGCAACCATAAGGTTATGAAAAATACATCATTTTACTGGGTTTTTTTTTATTTTTTTAATAAAAAATATATTCAGAAATAGCTTTATACATTTTCAATAAATTATCTGGGCAAAGAAAGTGATCACTCGGAAGCATTAAACATCAAAATTACACGAAAACTGCAGACTCGGTTTGATTGAGTCTGTACATGAGGGATAATGAAAAAGTGGACCATCCCTCACACCCCCTAGCACCGGCTTAAGCGGTACTCAGTTTTCAACACATAAAAGTGCTGGGATCAATGATCCCGAAAGACCAGAAAAATATAACAACACTGAGGTGAAGTACGGGGCAACGTTTTACGGCTGCCACACGGCACTTGACACGTGTTGTTGTGATAAATTAAAGTGAGAAAATATTACATACCATAGTACCATCCTACTGCGATAAACTCAAGACCACCTCCCAAACACATACAATATGCACTAGCATACCAATCTATCAAGTTGTATATATAAATACCCGCCTGTAAATAATATAAAGAATATCAAGAATAAGAAAATGATAACAATACCAGCTTTACTTTCAAATATTAATCAAAACATTTTGGCATATTTCAAACAGATGGTGAAACAAAACATGTATATAATAAAAAATAATTCAAATTAAGAAATTCAAATCAACGTCTTTATATGATTAAAAACCTATGTTTTTATTGAATAGGCAAAAAACCATGTACTTTTCGATTACTCACATTAATAAATAATTTATGATTTAGGTATGTTGATGAAATACTGACTTTATTAGAATTAAGGCCATGTTATTATCAAATTATCATTTGGAATGATACTCTAGTAATACAATGGCATTGATTCTAATATAATCAGTATTTTATCAACATACCTAAATCATAATCTACTTATATACACTTCATACGTATTAAATTGTTCTAAATATCATATACCGAGTACAGTTGACCAAACAATTTAAATATTGCTATCGCGTGTGAACTTAAAGATTTCAAACTATTGTAATAATTGATCCAAATGTTGGGAAAGAATGTGTTTAACTTACGCTAGTTGTAAACACAAGTCCTAGTATAAACATGCCACAAGCAATGGCGGCCGTGACTAGAGTTTTCCGCTTAGCAAGTTTATGTGGAAATGCATCAACAATGCCACTAGACAACGTCTCGAACATTCCAAACTAAACATGAAATAAAAATAACATAACGATAACATAACAATAATATTAGTATGGTAGTATAAAAAAGTAACAATTATAACAGCTAGCAATTGTCTCTTTAACAATGGTTAAAATATCTACCTTATAAAGTTGATGCCGCGAAATGCACATGAGTGAATGTTTCTTTTTAAACTTAATTAACAGACTTGTAACAGCTAAAATCCAAAACATCTTCTAAAGGTACATTGTACTATATCATGCAAATAATTGAAAATTGTTTACTTGAAAAAAGACAATTTAACAAGTGATTCTTACAAAACATGGTCCATTTTAAACAGAAGAAAGAAAACATGAAGTTATGTGTAAACTCAGTTTAAAGTGGCATATTACGAGTCAATAGACAAATAGACAATTTGAAAGCTATGTTAGTCGTTTGAAGTATAAAATTCAAATATAAAGTAAATTTTAAAAGAATGTTCTCGATGAAACAATCATGTGTTTATAATTCTTTCTCGAAAGGTTAAAAACCAATAAAACGTCATACTAGAATTTAAACAATATTTCAACAATGCACATAGAATAAACATCTTACTTGTGTATCAAGTCCAACTGTAATCATCATAATGAAAAAGAGCACCGCCCACAGTTGTGGTACTGGCATCTTAGATATTGCCTCTGGGTATGCTATGAACATCAATCCTGGTCCTACAATGCAGAGAAAAAGAACACTTTAAGATCGTTCTACATGGCACATAAAATAAATTTAAGACCGCTCAACAGGCGAAAAAAAGAAGAAAGAAAATGTTTTAGGTCAAATTTGATCAAAGCTGTTCATGTCAAGGCAAACTGCCGTCAATGCTCCATAACATCAAAACAATATATATATTGACATTTTGTAGTGAAGCCTGAATATTCCACAACAATTGAACATTACATTTTGTAACTGACTTTCATGTGAAATTGTAATTTTGGAAAATTTAATTTAAGGCATTTCACTTAAGAAGTTTATGATAAATAGGTAGACCAAGGGGTCCATTTCTAGCTCCAGGTCACTCATCTATACTGTGTAACTTTGTAGAAGTCAACAAGGCAATGCTACCTAGCACATATCTAACCTAAGTACAATGTAGTTTCGCACAAGAAAATTTTACATTGTTTTATTAAAACATCTGCATAAGCTGTTTAAACTAATTAACCCAAGGGCGTGACCAATTTTGAACAAACGGGGTCATTTATACAACTTGTGTAAAGAATCATCTCAAGAACAAATTTAATAGCTCACATGCTTCATTTGTTGGACGCTAAATATTATAAATATGCTTTTAATTTGCATGCACACAAAATATGAAGTCAAAGAATGACAAGAGAGAGCATTGTCGTTCGCGGAGCACAGACCCCTGACAGTATCCTTCGGATAGGACACCGGTGGGGAACCGTAGAGGAAAGAGCATAAGATGTAAAAACCGTCGATATTACAGTGTGATCTGGTGATGTCTCAGACCTAGTTAATATTTGAAAAGCACTTGACATACTTTGAAGAAACACCTTACATCTTAAATCTTGAACGAAATGCTCCAGTGTTCCAGACTCCAAAACAGGACACCAAACTAATCAAGCATGTTAAGGATTAACCTACCAGCTGTGGCAACTTCTTCAATGGGCTGTTTCAATTCCACTGCCATATATCCAACCACCGCGAACACAACAAATCCCGCGAAGAAGCTCGTCAGGCAGTCGGCAAGGCATGCGATAATGGTATCCCTGAAATGTCATTAGAAGTGTGCGTTTAGCAATGCCTTTAGTACTGGGTATCCACCTGTCAAGGTTCTGTTTGACACGGTAATCATCAACAACAGTTCTTATTCATTCATATAAAAGATTTATTTTAAAAGTGGTATTGTATTGGTACATTTATACAGCAAAATCGTTGTTATTTTTAGAGAGAAAAAAAAAACAAATTGCGAGATTTAAATCGGTTGAAGAATCTTTTATTGATGTACAATGTCAAACTGAAACACAGATGGACCTGGCCAGCACATTTACAAAGAATCGAACACAATACCTGTCTTACCATATTCGTAATCCTTACGTGGTTCACACATTCTGTGTTGGAAATTTAAATACTTACAAAATGACACAGAAACAAATTGACGACAAACATCTTGGCGTTGGTTAAAAATCTTCAGAAAATAAACGCAAAAACGCCCTTGGTTGATGAAGTTGTTGGAAAAGTAATAACAGCAACGAACAGTCGACGTTGTCATGGTAACATCCACGTAAAAGTCAGGAAACTAAAACGCCACGAATGTATTCAATTCAGTTTTATAAAAAACAATATCCCCGTCGGTAAAGAAGCAAAAACGAAAAGACATCCACTATAAGATTCCTGTCCAAATACACCAGCAAAATCTAAAGGTGCAAAAACAAAAAAGCACGACTGTAACTAAAATCTTGGAAATGAAACAAAATGTGCTCATTCTCATCAGTGAGCGATTTTGTATAAACTTATAACACCGCCATATACTCAATGACAAACTAAGATGTTTTAGAAACGTAAATGACACGCTGTCCTCAACGGCAGAAACAGTTTGATGAAAGACGATGAAACAGTATCCAAACAAAACCCTTCCAATGAAGTCAAATCGTTGAAAACACATGAATGAACTATCATCCCGTAGTATTACTATTTTAAATTGTCAATCAATCCAGTGTTTCAGAATAAACAAACCAAGTTAAGGGTTCTACGAATGTCGGAACAAAACCCAATCAAAAATGAAAGCACCCAATCGACGAAATACAAGCGCTTCCCCTCGGTGATGTAAGCAGTACCCAAAATCTCCAGTTTTCAGAGGCATTTTAAATACGTCGTATGAAAATCTCCTTTCACCCTTTTCTTTTAATGTATTTTTCTTTTTCGTATCTTTTTGTTTCTTTTAAGTTCATATAAATATAAGTACATTAAGTAACAATCTTTTTATGAAAACTTAAAAGTAAAACGTATATTATTGTGTCAAATAAAAAAGCCAAAATGTGTTATATCTATCATAATGTAAAAAAAAAATATTCATTTAAATTCGAATAAAAAAAAAACAAGAAAAAAACGGTGTTTTAGAATTTTGCAGTATTAGAATTGTTACAAAGCGATATGGTATCGTTTTCATATAAAGTTCTATTCTATTTGTAGTGAACCCACTTTGCAAGTTGGTTACAACAAAACGAATAAATGTGTTTATGATTGAAGCGCTAATACCTTCAAAAAGGAAGAGCTTTTTAAAGAGAAATTATTATTTTCTGACACAAAAATGGACAAATATAATAATAAATATTTATGCTTATTCACTGGTAATTAATTTTATAACTCACATGGAATTATTTTATACATTAACTTGAACATTGAAACAATTCAACTTCCTGGTCAATGGTTTTCAGAATTTTGTTGCAAAAGTGCTAGCCATTCTTCCGGATTTTCTATTTCTTTTATTGTTTTGTTTGTTAAAAATATAGGGATAAATGATCAGAATTAAGCCTTCAACTTATAGAGAAGTGAAGTATATATAAAAATTAAAAAAATGAAAAAAAAAGATTGGCTTTAAAGAAAATTTTGGCTTGATGGTTTTACAAAACAAAACAAGAACTTAAATCTACAAGATGTGATATTAGATTTTTTTATATAATAATTTCACAGAGAACGGATGAATGGACAAATCACTTCTGGAACAAAGAGTAAAATACAAATATTACATAAGTAATTACCTAGCGATTTAGCATAAATATGTATTCCTATTATTGGTGTCGAGCGAGAAACTTGGAGAAGGTTGTTTTTACTAACTCGTGAAGGTTGTACAAACTTTCGTTAATAATTAGTAAAATTGTATGTTTTATCAAGGGTCAATTTGATATGATTTAAAGACTAAGTTTAAGTTATATATTCGTATCAAATAAAGATGTATCATTTTAGATCAATTTTACGTTTTATAAAAATATATACATCATATTAGATTTCTGTTCATAAAATCAAATGCATGTCCAATAGCCCGGACTAAAAACATCGAATTTAGCAATCTTAGATACTTAGTTTGACATAAAATGCAAACATTCGCTCGATATACCATAAAATTGACCCTTTGATACAAATATTATATTGATTAATGGAAATTGAGGGTAGATTGCAAAGCAAACGCTCAAACTTTTTTTCAAAGAAAATGGTCTAAACTGTTTCAAAAGATTCAATAAATTTGCCAATTTTAGAAATGTTTTAATGGTTTTAAAAATTCGGTCTTTATTTCTTGCAACAAGGCACCTTTTCGCTTGAATATTTAAGTGACTTTCGAAATGTTATGAGGTTCAAAAGCGATATATTCCCGCAAATAATCTCTTTTCAAATCTCATCACATGGCATCAACCAGTTATATATTCATGCATAAAATATTTCAAGTCTGTGTCAGTACAGATCAAACAGTTTTAACTCTTCCTTTTATCAACGAGTCACGTGAATTTAATGAAATGCATGTATATTTTCCAACAATAATTCATATTTACTTACATAATAATCATTATTTTAACTATAAAGTTATTGATTTAATAAATGTCGTTAATTTTATTTCGAAACAGAAATGTAGTTTAAGGATACTATAATGAGTTTTAGATGTTGAATGTCATGCGTTTCACTAACATCACGTGACTTTAGCCCCTATATTCTCTTCACATGACTCTTTGTGGTAATAATATTCGTAACCATTTACCGATACACGCGAAACCCGTGCTATCCATTAAGCTGTTAAGTACGACACGTGTTTTTCGATATGTGTTCACAAACACACTATAAGGAAAAATAAAAAGAAACCTAATAGAAAATGCATCAGTCTGACTAAAAATGTTGTTTGTTTTTTTATAACTGAGGATTTATGATATTTAGAATAAAAAGGCAAAAAAGGTGCACAGACAACTATAAAATGTTGCGCGTTGAAAAGATAAAAAAATGCGCGATAACTAGCATGAAAAAACGCGAAAAAGATTCTTAGGAAAAAAGAAAGTAATTTATATTACGAATACATAGTCACGTGTTTTGAGTCATGTGAGGTTTAGGGGGCAGTTTTCTTGCCTCAAGCAATTGTTCCTAAACTTGTTGTAGCTTGCCATGGTCACGACGCCTCCCCATGTTGGTCCCAGGGAATAAAATACTTGCACGGCGGCCTCCAGCCACACCTGTTTGGGAAGTCAGCAATCATGGAATAGCATAATATTCTCTGGCCAATTTTTCCAAACTGGCGCAGAACAAATGATGTCTGCAAAGGCAGCAGGATTGTTAAAAATAACAATAAATGGAATAAATGGAAATGGAGTCGGGAATGAAAAAAATAACATGTTCTTTAAGGTACTAGAAACATGTTCATCCCACTCCAGAAAAAATATATTGAATGATCATTTATTATATAGCGAAATGGACAATTTAATATTATTAAAAATATGATTTCAACGCACCTTGACCACGCTACAAAATGACATATATCCCCAGATTAAAACTGGCATATCTATAAATAAAATATCTCGAGGAAAAATCTTTCGAGTGTCGAAAATATACGAAAATTGACTTCCATAAAATGACGTAAATAATACGTAAAATGGACATGATTTTTTGTAACTATGAACATTTTTATAGCATGTATATAAAGAATTGATGAATTTTAGAATTGAAGAAAAAAAATCTCGATTTAAAAATTTGGTGTAAAAGGCTTTCCATAATTCCGAAAAAAAAACCTGTCACAAATGGAAGATTATGTATGAATTTCTTTTTCAACCGGACAAAAAGAAAGCGGAATATATAATACTCACAAATGTCACATTCGCCAATGGTAATGTATAAATCACGATTAATGTTCACAATAAAACAAAACAAACCCAAATATTTAATTTGTTCGAAAATAAATAATTACAAATAAATAATAAACGCAAAATTATGTACCAATCGTGTAAAAAAAATAGCAAAGAATACATTATGCATAACAATGTCATAAAAAAAGATTTTAGGTTGCGCAAGATTACAAAACAAATCTGCTCACATATCCACAAGAAGTAGCACTACTCCGTAATAGCTACCGTGTACAAGTATAAAAGTGATTTCGAAAAAAAAAAAGAAAAAAAAAAAGAAATTGATAAAACAAACGACTTTTTATCGCTTTAAAGGACGAATTTTTTAACTTCACTTATTGCAAAGAATTCACTGCTTGACTTTTGACGAGCAGAAAAAATACAGTGTTAAAAAAATAAAATTAAGAAAAAATAAGATCAAGTCAATTTGTGATTTATTCAAATTAAAAAAATGCTACCCATATACCCCAGACAAAAAAGCCACGTGCCCGCTTTTAAACATACATTTTTATTTCAAAATATATAACAGTAAAACAATCATAAGTATCAATGAAACATAAAATAAAATTATTGATGACAATATTGTAAACATTCGTTAAAATACAGAAAAAAATGTAATAAAATTGTATAATTCTACAAGTATTTATTAAAAATTTTAAAATACGTCCATAAAATTAAAAATAAAATACTTAAAAGGCAAACTTTAGAAAATAAATTAATTATAAAACCATAAAATGGTGTGCATAATTACCTGGGTGTCACGTAGTCTGTGAAAGTTTGGTGAAAGGTAGTACCTAATTCCAGCCATAGCACCAGGAAGGGTCAATCCACGAATCAGAAACACGACCAGTAAAACATATGGTAACAGTGCCGTCACGTACACGACCTAAAAGAAGTATTCATAAACAAATATTTATTCTCGGTAACAGTGTCATCACTTACATGACATAAAAGAAGTATTCATACACCAATATTACTGCTCGGTAACAGTGTCATCAATTACATGACATAAAAGAAGTATTCATACACCAATATTACTGCTCGGTAACAGTGTCATCAATTACATGACATAAAAGAAGTATTCATACACCAATATTACTGCTCGGTAACATTGGCGTCACATACACGACCTAAAAGAAGTATTCATACACCAATATTACTGCTCGGTAACAGTGCCGTTAAGTACACGACCTAAAATAAGTATTCATAAACGAATATTACTGCTCGGTAACAGTGCTGTCACCTACACGGCCTAAAAGAAGTACTCATAAACAAATATTACTTTTCGGTAACAGTGTCATCACTATCATGTCATAAAAAAGTATTTATAAATAAATATTACTTCTCGATAACAGCGCTGTCACGTACACGACATAAAGAAGAAATCATAAACAAATATTACTGCTCGGTTACACGTGCTGTCGCATACACGACCTAAAAGAAGTATTCATAAACCAATATTACTGCTCGGTAACAGTAGCGTCAAGTACACGACCTAAAAGAAGTATTCATACACCAATATTACTTCTCAGTAACAGTGGCGTCAGGTACACGACCTAAAAGTAGTATTCATACACCAATATTACTGCTCGGTAACAGTGGCGTTACCTACACGACCTAAAAGAAGTATTCATTAACCAATATAACTGCTCGGTAACAGTGGCGTCACGTACACGACCTAAAAGAAGTATTCATAAACAAATATTACTCCTCGGTAACAGTGGCGTCAGGTACACGACCTAAAAGAAGTATTCATACACCAATATTACTGCTCGGTAACAATGGCGTCTAGTACACGACCTAAAAGAAGTATTCATAAACCAATATTACTGCTCGGTAATAGTGGCGTCAGGTACACGACCTAAAAGAACTATTCATACACCAATATTACTGCTCGGTAACAATGGCGTCACGTACACGACCTAAAAAAAGTATTCATAAACCAATATTACTGCTCGGTAACAGTAGCGTCACGTACACGACCTTAAAGAAGTATTCATAAACCAATATTACTGCTAAGTAACAGTGCTGTAACGTACACGACCTAAAAGAAGTATTCCTAAACAAATATTACTGCTCAGTAACAGTGCTGTCACGTACACGACCTAAAAGAAGTATTCCTAAACCAATATTAATGCTCGGTAAAAGTGGCGTCAGGTACACGACCTAAAAGTAGTATTCATACACCAATATTACTGCTCAGTAACAGTGGCGTCACGCACACGACCTAAAGGAAGTATTAATACACCAACTTTTACTGCTCGGTAACAGTGCCGTCACGGATACGCCCTAAAAGAAGTATTCATACACCAATATTACTGCTCGGTAACAGTGGCGTCAGGTACGCGACCTAAAAGAAGTATGCATTAACCAATATTACTGCACGGTAACAGTGCCGTCACGTACACGACCTAAAAGAAGTATGCATTAACCAATATTACTGCTCGGTTACAGTGGCGTCACGAACACGACCTAAAAGAAGTATTCATAAACCAATATTACTGCTAAGTAACAGTGCTGTAACGTACACGACCTAAAAGAAGTATTCCTAAACAAATATTACTGCTCAGTAACAGTGCTGTCACGTACACGACCTAAAAGAAGTATGCATTAACCAATATTACTGCTCGGTAACAGTGGCGTCACGAACACGACCTAAAAGAAGTAGTCATACACCAACATTACTGCTAGGTAACAGTGCCGTCACGTACAAGACATAAAAGAAGTATTTATACACCAATATTACTGCTCGGTAACAGTGCCGTCACATACACGACCTAAAAGAAGTATTTATACACCGATATTACTGCTCGGTAACAGTGGCGTCACGGATACGCCCTAAATGAAGTATTCATAAACCAAAATTACTGCTCTGTAACAGTGCCGTCTCGTACACGAAGAAAAAGGTTTCATAAAACAAAATATGACTGCTCGGTAACAGTGCCGACACGCATACGACCTTAAAGAAGTTTTGACAAATCAATTTTACTGCTCGCTAACAGTGTCATCACGTATGCGACCTAACAAACTCATTATTCAACCATTATAACTGATTGGTTACAGCATTCGCTCACTCACTCACTCACTCACTCACTCACTCACTCACTCACTCACCCACCAACTCACTCACTCACCAATGCACTCACTCACTCACCCAATCACCCACCCATCCATCAACTCACTCACTTACTCACTCATTCACTCACTCACTAACACATTCATCATCCATTTGAGATCGTGATATACTTGATAGAAATAGTATAGAAATACATTACAGGAATATTGAACTATTGAAAAGTTGATTGTTAATCTTGTGAATAACTGAAAATCGTGTTCTTCATTGTTAAACGTCATTATTTCTATCTAAAAATAAATACATGACTCATTTGAAAGTTGGCTTCAACGGAAACTATGAAACAACTCAGACCGAGACTTTACAATAAAGATAAAAAGCGGTTTCAAGATAAAACATTTAATTTACATCGTTATAAAACTAATCATCAAATATCTTCAACAAAACATGAATAATTTGTATTGTAAGACGGAAGGAGGAACATATATAAGTGTACATATGTGTATCGTATCATACAAGCATTTCCTTAAATACTAGTATGTCACAATCACCGGAATCCAGCTTAAAATATTATGTATTCTTCTTGCAGGAAATAAAGAAATCTTACAACTAATCAGAACCTTAGTCACGCGTGTTATTAATTGTTTTTGATATAAATGCGTAAATGTGACTTTTGTCCTGCCTAATCGATATCACGCATTTTCTTAACGTCTATATAATATTACAATAACTGCGCCCTTTTCGGGAGGGATGGTTAGGTGCACAGGGTAAAATATGATATACAATATCCTGTGAGGTAACCAGTAGGATTTCTAATACTGTTATGATTGAGAAAACATTATGTGGTAATATATCAAATGTTTTTTTATTATTACATGATTAAGTATCATATTGCATTTTGTGTTATCATGACCACGTGACGTGATATCTATTTGCAAGGCTATGTGCTATGTACAAGTCTAAAAATAAGATGTCTGTTCTGTTCTACATTTATTTAATGGCACCTTCATTTGTTTTAGTAACCAAAACTACAGAAACTATTTTATCCAGAACAATATGAAAACATTAAGAGACATTTATTAAGCAAAATTCCCAAAGGAGAAAGGCCCAGTATCTGTCCATTCTTGAGAAATAACGGAGACGGTATCACTAGATGTATTTGAAATATATCTAAAAACTACTTTATATTACATCTAAAGTACCGCATTTAAGTAATAAAATTATTTCTCATAACATTTGCACGTAAATCACTTGGCTTATTGAGTGTATTCCATTAAAAAACGTATTATGTCATTGGTAGATCTTTTAACAGGAACTTTTTCTAAATGTTACTGTACATGAAGCGTTTTTGATTCCTGTCACACTGACCTTTAAAGTTTAAAATAAAATCAGCAGATTGGCATTCCGTCTTTTTAAGTTTGTTTATTCATTTATTAAATGTGCTTTTTTCTTCCTTTTCTTTTCAAGCATTTGCACGCTTAGTATTTTAAAGGAGACGTCGATCTTTCAATCTGGATAAAACTATAAATCATTTTTTAGGGAAAATTCAAAATACGAGTATGTAGTGACTGATTGGCTTACAAATATATTCTTAACTGACCCCGAGTCTGATATCGACAATTGACTTGTTGGTGCAAATCTTTAATGCTTAACGCTTTAAAATATGGGGGTTTTCTTTCAGATTAATGAAAATAAAAATTATGCTTGTGCCTTGGTGGGAGAGCATTCAACGACGAGCAAAAGTATTACTAATCTAGTCCCATCCTAGTGCTGGTATTGTGAAAGATCTACCAAAATGCCAGGGTCAACAGCACGGAGATTTGATTCCTATAGTTGACTTTCTATCATAAATAAAAGATAACGGCAAAAAACCCGCACCATATCAAATAACGCGTCTAATATGAGCCGCGTCACGACAAAACCAACATAATGGGTTTGCGACCAGCATGGATCCATGCGCAGTCTGATCAGGATCCATGCTGTTCGCTATCAGTTTCTCTACTTGTTTTAGGGTTTGTACGCGAACAGCATGGATATTGATCAGACTGCGCGGATGCGCAGGCTGGTCTGGATCCGTCCTGGTCGCAAACGCACTATGTTGGTTTTGTCATGACGTGTCTAATTACTAAATCAATACATTACCTTTCCTACAGATTTTACGCCCTTGATGAGACATAAGAATACTAAAAGCCACGCCCCCATCAACGCCAGGACTAAATGCCATTTAACCGTACCCATCTCATCAATGCCGGATGACATCTCCAAAACATTGTATCTATAACAACAATACGAAAGAAATTTAACATCAGATCTCACAGTGATTACATGTACAATCGGACTGACGTGTGCCAAGTGGTATTTTCGCTCCGCGGAGCCCCAGGAAAAAAAACATGAAAATGTGACCATATTGTCGAACTTCCACTTTTCGGGGCGCCAAGCGAAAGGTTACTTTGTCTTCCACTTTTCGGGGCGCCAAGCGAAAGGTTACTTTGTCATATTTTCGTCTGACGCCCAGCGGAACGAATAAACGATCTGGCATACACCAGCTACCATACATGTATATGAGGATTGTGCTTTTAATTAAGTTGGAACACGTGATAAGATAAATTGTTTTCCAATACGTTACATCTAATGTAAATAATTTAGCTAAACATCCAAACTGTAAATGTATTACGTCAAACGAAAGCAATCAATACGTGTGATGACATTTGAGAAGCTCTAAGCACACACAATGGTATTGACTTACTGCCAGAATTCTTTCGCCGAGCTGACATTTCTTATGCTTAAATTGTTATATACATCTTCTCCTGTATTGTTAACAGCCAAACGTTCGTCTTGCATCTTTTTAAGCGCTTCCGGGTCAGAGGGTCGGCAGTTGACCGTGTTCCAGTCGTTGTCACAGGTGGACCACGGCAGTGTGGGATTGAAGGAGTTCACGAGGTAATAGAGAACCCACGCGATAATTGTGTTGTAGTACCACGATACGATTCCAGATATGATTATCATTAACCAGCCAAGACCTGAAACGATATCATATTACAAATATTATCATCTCACCAAAATACTATTCACTGACTTTCGTATTGGGGTTGGTTTAGGGGCTCGCAGGGTTATATTAAAGTCATTCAACAACACAATCTGGTGAATTCTGTGCCTTTTTGATTGATTTACTTAAAAGCTTACTTACTTACATTTTGGAATCATGATATAAAATAATAACTTTATATGCCGTTTATTTTGCAGATTATTGTTTTTAATTAAGCTAAAATTTCAAACCTTCACTAGACGGAAATATGTTCAGTTTAACAGAAGTATACTCTGCATCCCCCTCAAATTATACTAAAATATAAACCTACATAAGCCTAGAATATTTTTATTTCAATTTCACAGTCTAACAGAAGTGGTTTTTTTTGCACTTGATTGCCGCCAACGAACGAGTACAGGAAATAAAGTAAGGTGGGTTAAAGAAAACCGAAATTAAACACATAGTGTAATAATTTGCTATTGCCTTCATAAACATATTTGCCATGACACAATTCATGGAAGTTATGTTTCCAGATCAATACACTACCAACGAAACAAAATTTATTTCTCGATTCAATGTAAACACTCAACTTCCGTCTATAAATGTTGCTGGTTGGTGTTACACGAATTCTCTAATGGTGGGTGTCACGCAGATTTCCTATCAGTTAATAAAACATTATCAGATTTTGTTCTGCAAAACAAGCACGTTTTTTCTATCTATGCATATTTGAAAATATCGATAGTCTAATTTATTCAGGGATGTGGGCGGATAAAAAACTATACTGTAAGTTGGGCAATATGCACGGAAGAAGTTCTAAGTGACTAGCATTTCAATTCACGTCATTAAAATGTATTTAATAACAGAAGGTGCCGTCCACAGAATAGTTCACGCAAAAATATTTTTTATATTTTAAAAATGGCGTTAACTAGAATATAAACGCATAAATTAAGAATTCATCGTCACCAGTCTTAGTGCAGTAAAGGGTAACTTCTATTACATTATATAAGTAGATAACCCGTTACTGCACAACAGTGGCGACATGTAAGTTAAATAACCCTTACCTTGCTTAGTTGATACGAATTTAGTCTTAAGTTTGATCGTGTTGGAATCTATAAGCTTATTGAAACACTCACGAATCCGTTCCTAAAAACCAACCAGTACTAAACAATGAGTTTAAAGTTTCTTGTTTAAGGAAACAACGGCTTGCCTCTGACGGGGTTTGAGCCCCCTTGCTTGACGTCTTTGCCAACAGTATTGGGCTAGGCCAGTCAACACATCCGTCAAGTCTGACCACTGACCAGGCTTTATACTTTTGGTATCCTGATACCCCCACATTGATAATAAACATTTCCAAAAACAATGAAAGCTTGGCCAGTCCATTTTAAGAATGTGTTAAGTTACAGCATATTGGGAAGATAACTACGAAAGGTCGGAGGGGACATTTAAACTTCACAAAGCTAAAATCGTGAATTCGTGCAGAAGAAATCGTGAATTAATGGAGTTAAAATGTCCGTAGATAAACAAGCTTTATGACAAACTTAAGTCAATCGATAGGCTGATTGATAAGCCTTTAAACGCACAAAAGCAGCGGTTGATTTGCAATTAAAATTACTGAAACTGTAATTATACAAGCATTGTGTTACATCTTAAATTACCTCTACGCTATGATATTTTTTATGTTTTGTCTGTGTTTTGACCTTTTATAACATATGCCTCTTTTATCACTATATCTCCATTTTTATTACATACATACTTTATTACTTATACATGTATGCCATTTTTTTTCTAATTAACGGATCGCGATTTCTTTCAACTGAATCCCCCCAAGAGTAATAATAACTGAGACTGTGACGTTAGTTCTTTGATATAGCAGTAATAAAGCAATGTGGTATTAGTATAAAATATCAGGGATATTTTTCACCTGCGATTGGCATTTCAAGTCAGATTTTGACGTTTAAAGGCACATTATGCCTAAAAAACGAATATTTTTTGCATTCGTTAGAAGTTTTATAACGTTTAGATAATTGTTTTTTTATAATATTAGAGGCTTATCACATAACAATGAAGCCCTGAATGTTGAAATTATATGTCATAAAAGTAGCTAAATGTAAACGAAGAAGTATTTTGAGTCCAATACAAAATATTAAGTTACTATTTAAACTGAAACTGATAGCGATCGTTGACTGGCTTATGACCCCTGCCAACTTGATTGACAGGAAAAAAAATCAGGACAGCTAAAATGAAATATTTTGAGAAATCAAAATAAATGTACAAGTATTTTTTGGCCATAATGGGCCTTTAACGTATTAAGTGTTACATATGCATCACTTTAAACTTACTTTATCACAAATTAGTCAATTATATCATTCATTTCACCTATGTAATTCGTATTTTTCTTTTTTTCAAGAAAGTTCACTACTTATTCATTTTCATCAACTAATCAAGATAATGAATTTTTTCACACCCTGTACCTTCTTTGGGATATACATGTTTCATTGTTGCATCATTGTTGCATTTACTTCACCTACTTACATTTAACACACAAACTATTATTGTTATACATTCTTTTTCTTGCAAAAACAAATGTACAGGGAATAAAGGATGAAACAGGGAAAATTTATTTTTCTTTCCAAGTCATACTGAATCATTTCATGAAAAACCTTGTATTATCAGGTAAATATGTTTAAAATTTTCTAGTGGTCATCATCATCATTATCATCATCATCATAATTATCATCATCATCATTTGTAAACCATCTTCCTCACTACATCATCATCACCACACCAAACCACCACCTACTCCATCACCATCATCATCACCATCATTGTCATCATCGCCATCATTATCAGCATCCTCATCATCACCACACTATCTTTATCATCGTCATCACAATCGTTATCATCAACAACGTTTTCCTTATCACCTTTATCTTATTCATAATTTTATTCATCAACAACAACACCATCATCATTATCATCATTGTTATCATCATAACAATTATCATCATCAATACACACCATATTCATCTTCAGCATACCAAAACCCCCAGCATTATCAGTATCACTATAATCTTCATCACCACCATCATTATAATCATCGTATCAAAGTTAATATTATGAACAACACAATGTGCGTCGTGTTTAATAGTATTAACAGTAGTTGTGTACATTTGTTATTTGTTATTTACCTCATATTTACATGTATTGTGTATTGAGTGAATAATAAAATCTTGAAATCTTGAAATCTTGTACATTCCACAATGACGACAGCGTCGATTATGACGTAAAAGATCATGATGTAAAAACGACAATGATTCAAATTAAAATGATATTATAGAAATCAAGTAATTATTTCACTATATTATATATCAAATTAAACTTCACCTTGTCTACTATCACATTGAAGTGTATGTTTAAGCATGCAATTTTATTATGAGATAGATAAACGGTTCGAAAGTGTAAGTTTTATTCTTGTATATCAGACAGGAGTTTCTTATGTTTACAGTGGTGCAAGAAAACCCAACCTTACAAACTGGTGTAAGACCATTCCCGTGCTGTTTTACACCGGCTGTCGGTATATTTGGCTCTCGGTGTAACAGTTAAGCGGAAATTAGGCAGAGCCACTATAAACAAATCACCTCGAGCTAGAAATTCTGATCTGTACTCGAGCCTGATCATTGATGTAAGATTCTTGTACTGGTAGAATTATGGAAGAGCCATTTTTGACAGTTATAAAATACCGAATGTTTCTGAAAAGACTTGATAGTTTCGTACAGGAAACATGATTTAAAACCACACAAACATTTTATTAGTTTACACTTAGGCAATCTTTATCTAAGTACAGTTGTAAGCCGTCCCGGATTGACGAATTTCGACATTTCGGAAGTGTTTCAATAATAAAATTTTAAACCTGCAAATTTCCTGTTATCAAGTGCAGTGTAATTTAAAGTTTAAAACTTCAAGTATATGCACTGCAGCGAATAAATGATAAATGATGTAGTAATTAAACGGTTCAGGGAAGGTGCATTTATTAAGATATGGTGTAAACAATGACATAATGTCCCAGGTGTTTATTAGAAACAAAACGGTACACATCCTTACCTCTTAAAAGTGGTGCTAGTCTCCAGACGAACAATGGGCTACTTCCGGAAAACTGACCCAGACAAACTTCCAGGTAATAGAGAGGGAACGCAACCATTACCATGAATATGAAAAATGGAATAAGGAAGGCACCTGAAAAAAATAAGCAAAAAAATAACAACAAATCTCAACATTACATCAACAGGATTCGTGTAACTCCGTAACTTCGTTTTTAAACAAGTAAAACATGAAAAAGGGTAAAAAAAAAAAACATTCATCAAAATCGGATTCTGCATTTTTTGACGTAAAATTTCGAATAATATAATGATGTTTTCGAAAAATGATTTCTTCAATCGAAACACCTTGAAGATTATTTATCCGAAGACTGACGGAAAGAGCCGAAAAGTTGCGATTCCAAAATCTTACCTCCGCCGTTCCGCATGCAGAGGTAGGGAAACCTCATCAAGTTACCAAACGCTACAGCGTAGCCGACGATGGCCAGAATAAACTCGAACTGGGAACCCCATTGCTCCCTGTCAACGTAGTCGGACTGGTCATCTAAAGATGAACTCTCGTCACTAGGAACTGACCCCTCGTGTTTCTCGTCATGTTGCTTTTCAACTAAAAGATCTTGTTGTTGCTTCTCAAATAAATTATCTTCTTGCTCCATTCTGTAAAAAAAGAATATCAATACACAAAAATATCTTTTAAATATATGTATATCAATATGTTATTTTATCCGACCGTTCGCTCAGTTATTTCGTCGGATACGTTTAAAGATCCTGTAACACATTTTATTTTATGATTTTAGATCATAAATATGATGCTCAAATTAAAATTTATCAATATTGTAGGTTTCCAAAAAGCATGATTTATAAAGATATTACCGAATTTAACATTTCATGTTAATAAAGGGAGGTAATAAAAAATCATTTTCTATAAAGTTTAAGTCAAATTTTACAATAAGAAATGAATGCACATGTTTTAATAATTACATATAATATGCACAAATATTTGCAGTACATATTTTCCATATTCTTCGATGTTTGAAAATAGTTTTATTATGCATAATTATGAACATATAATAGTATATATTATATAACTTCACTTGTTCTGGTTAACCACTTTGAGATCTTTAATTTCAATGATGGATGTGTGATTTTGCATGAGTCTGAAAGCTTGACGACACTGCTTTCAATTCACGTAGGCAGTAAATTAAAATCACTGTTTATACAATAACTGTTTACATATGAATAAATTTTGCGATATTATCTAATCACATAGCTTTAAGGCTCATTATACCCCTTAAATGCTTTCAATTTCTCAAAACATTTATATTTTTGGTATCTTATTACAATTTCCAAAACATTTACACACTCTCATTAAATGTGTGTATGCAATTGGTATAACTATTTTGTATGGAAGACAAATAATACTACTTTGTTTATATTTTGCTACTTTTACAACACGTTACTGTACATTCATTGCTACTTTCTTTGGTTGTTTAACATCTAACACGCTCTAAATTTATTATTAAAATATCCATTTTACACAAATCTGACCTTTCTAAAAAAATATTGATTTCTGGCATAATATGCCTTTAATAGCCCTTGCTAAACACTGTAAATATTCAAGTGATAAGAGTATAAAATTGCGTTAAAAATCGTTAACTCTTCGAAGCTTGTTTTGTGTGAAAACGTGAGTCATGTAGATTTCAAGTAGAAGTATGTTAATTCATATTGCAGTCTTTCAAACAAATGGTATATGCACAGGAAAGTTTGGTCTTAAATAATCTATATACCATATATACACATTAACAGTATATTTTATAACATAAATATATTTATTTACACCTTTCTCAATTTTTCGTGTTGACTTATTTCCATTTTCTTATGAACCTTTCCCTTTTCATGTTCTTTCTTGAACATTTCGCTATCTTTCAAACTTTTCATTGTTACATCACACTTCAATCAATAATTAATGTAAAATTCATACAATACAAAAGAACCACCGCTCATTGAAAAAAGCAACACTTTTAATTGTACATGTATCATATTTACGTACGCAATAAGTATATAATAAGGACGTATACGTATAGATATTAAAAAATTAACAAATAATGACTAAATACAAGTTTAAGGAGTGTCGATTGAAAAGACTATGCCATAGTCGCATGAAATGATCTATTTAAAACACAAAGCATGATTTTTTTTCAAGTACAAAATAAATGTCATATCTTGATATTTGAATGCTTGTTACGAAATTATTCATGTACATAGTTTGTACCAAGAGCGCCTTAAGGAAAAATTCCACAAAGTTGTTATATTTTCCAGCCTTTCAAAATCATTAATTACTAATATGTTTCATGCTTTTGATTGAACACTCCTAAAACCAGTGAAAGGGGTGAGGTAAGGGCGTAGGAGATGGCATTTTCTCCAATTCAATCTTATCAGTGCTTTATAAAGCCCAGCAGAATTCGGTATGTTTGATCGTAATACGTAAGTATTTGGAATATGTTCTCTCACATATAATACCTTCCAGGGAATCCACAAGAAAAGCATTGATGCAAAGCATCAAAGGGCGTCCAAGCAAGAAATGCAGCAAGTGAAGATGAACTAGTACACATATGATGACAAGATATTCTTATAAACTACCAGAAATGTATACCACTTATGAATGAGCGGACGAAAGACATTGTTCATTATGAACTTTGATTAGCATGCTAGAGATTAGAATATTATACAAATATGGACTTTTTAGCTGTTGAATATGATGTGATATGTACTGAAAAAATTAATATTGACCGAGGCGATTGTTATTTCTTTATGATCGTGGTTATTAATAGCAACGGATATACATGTATGCAATCATTTATAATCCATATGTGTAACGCATGATCAACACGTACCACACATTTGTCCCTTATTATGTACATGTTATCGCTATTAGCGAAGACCCCCTTAAGGTATCTGTTCACACTTTAAGTTAGTAAAAATATGACACTGGTTATATTACCATGTTGATCATGTTGAGCATAATTGTTTATTATACAATAATTGTAATATCTATTAATTTTAATTAAAAAAAAAATACAAATTTTATGAATATTGTTTTCTTTTATTCTTTTTTGTGTTTTATGTGCTATTTTAATACTGAGTTTTTACTACTCTTTTTTATTAAAATTGTAAAATAAATTTTAAGAATTCAATTGTAATATTGACCGACGATTATAAGTCAAAGCTTAACTGGAAAAAGTCAGTAAATTATGGTTTATCTTTCAATATATAATATTGTTTATTCTTAAACCATGTACATGTACATTGTATTTTTCTTTATCATTTTTTAAATTATCGATCAATTGAATAATTCATAAAATCTAATTTGTAACTTTGAATAATTCCTCGGCATCTTTACTAAACACGGATAACAAATTGAATAATTAAATAAAATGTTTCAAAGTTGATAATGTCATTTTAATACCATAAAAAATGTACCTTTTTCTCAATTATTGTACATATCACGAATTTATATTACATATAAATCCGTGTACATATTTATTGTTTTTATCTCATATAGATAAAATGAAACATGCTATTGTTGTTTTTTTCTAATTGTAACGATATCAAACATCTACTCCAAAACCGGGAGAGACCGGACAATAAACGTGTGGACACGGCCTACTGAATTTTCGACCCATATATCCTATAGTAAATCCATCACATTTAAGGCTAAATTCTGGACAAAACAAATCCGGTACCGAAACTTCATGACCATTTCTTTAAACACCAATGCAGTCCAAGTAAATTTAGCACAAAAAAATAATACATTAGCCCTTGGAGTTTTTCTGCAGCTTTTAATTTCTGTAATCACTATAGAATATTCCAAATAGTAACTGGTGTGTATTCTTGTGCATAGTGCCTCATGAAACCTTCCACCCAGAAATGAAATCCTGCAAAAATACATAAAAAACAACCTTTAAAGTACTCAGAAATGAAACTTCATGTACATAATTACTAAAGATATACTTAAAATATAACCAGTATCAATTAAGATGATATGAAATAGGCCATTTCAAAATTTAAAAGAACTACTTTCTAGACTACAACGGGCTGGGTCTAATTCCGTACCGGGGTGACACCATACTATTCGCCGGTCACTAGTAAATCCTGGTCAAAATAGACCGGGAGAGACCGGCATTTACCGATAGGAGTGATAAAAAGATATATCTATAAATAGGTTTTTGGAATATTTAGGTCATCAACTGATCATTCTAGGATACATGTACAACAATAACATACCATGACATGATAACCGACTGTGTACTACAAAATGATAAATAAAAAACCCCGAAGAGCGCGATTTATTGACGGAAAAGGTTATTTCATTTGTAAATGTTTGCATTGCGAAAATTCATTGTAACATATCGCGACATTTCATTCTTATTTAATAATCAAGCACCTCATACCGATCGGAATTTTCGGCTTTTATTATGACCGACTAAAAGGCTCGAGAAGTTGCTGTCGCCCTTTCACAAAATCTGATCTCATTCCATAAGAGCGCCGCGCTTCGGCGCGGACGCCAATAATAGAGATCGTACGATGGCGCTTGGTAATGGAAAATATTGATTTGTGCGGGAAAAGACAAATTCTTGGGGAAATTTCACCGAAAAGATTCCTTCTACTTAGCAACTGTTAACACCCGCAAAGTATTTTCCACACTAAAGTGATATCGACTATCTAAACATCAAAAATAGCCACGGTCACGGAGAATGAAACGTACTACCTTGCAAACTGTTGAGAGCGGAAAGTTTCTGGTTAATCAAATGTTTGGAACTCTGATTAAAAGAAAATACCACCAGGCGTACATAAACTTTGACAAATGTGTTCATTTTCTGGTTACAACCACCACTGACATTGAATATTGTTATTGTAGAAATATCATATTCTTGACCGCGTGACCTTGGCCTAAGGCCGCTTGTGAGAAGAAATGATTAATATGACCTATGAAATTTGTAATAGAAAGAGCATCGAAACACGAGGCTATCTGATTTGTACGAGGGGGCGTAGCCCCCGAGTATAAATCAGATTGCCGAGTGTTTTGATGTTCTTTCTCTTTTGTATCATAGTCAAACATAAAAACACGTTCCCTGATACCAAAATATGAAACCCCACAAAAAAGTAACCAATGACCGAGCATCTGAATATGACGTTTCCATCGCTATCCCTTTCTCTGTCGTCATAATATGTAAACGGACAAAATGAACCAATCAATGGGCATGATCTGGAGTGCGGGTAACTGATACCTGCACTCCAGTTACCGCACTGTGCATGTATATGTATACGATTTTACTCTGACACATTTTCAACAGAAAGGTCCCCAAACTATGATACAACAATTTATATTCAGTTCTTCCTTGTGAATTTTTCAGGAAGTCAAGCCTGTCGCACAAAGCCTCTGACCGAAAAACATCTTTAGATCGTTCCAGTACTGCAAAGATTGCTGTAATGTCTATTCACGTACATTTATATGTATGTATAAAGTTCTGAATAGAATATTACAAATAAACAATCTTATTTCCTATTTAGTAACTATATGAGCAGTGTCACGACAAAACCAACATAGTGGGTTTGCGACCAGCATGGATCCAGACCAGCCTGCGCATCCGCGCAGT